GGAGAGGAGGGAGAGGAGGGAGAGGAGAGGGAGAGGGGAGGGAGAGGAGGGAGAGAGGAGGGAGAGGGGAGGGAGAGGGGAGGGAGAGGGGAGGGAGAGGGGAGGGAGAGGGGAGGGAGAGGGGAGGGAGAGGGGAGGGAGAGGGGAGGGAGAGGGGAGGGAGGGTTACAGTCGGATCGCGATGTGGTGTTGGATGTTGGATGCCGGTGCTGATACTGGTGCGGATGTGGCGTAATGCGGCCCCGCCGGGAAGCGTCTCCAGGGTTGTTGGTGCCCCGCCTCTGTGTGGCGGCTCTCTGTCCGCGGCTCTCTGTCTGCCGGCCTGAGTAGGTCGGCAAACAGCACGATGAGCACCAGGACAGACCTGTTGGCAATGTGCGCAATGCTGCCGCGAGATCTTACGACGTCGCGGCCCGTCGTATCATCTTGGAATGCACAGAGGGTGTCTTCGCCGTCCACTCACACCGTCTCCTGCTTACCCGAATACTTCACAGTATCGCCTCAGCACATCCTCCACGATCCTCTGTGCTCCAAGGTTCCCTTCCGTTCATTTGTTCCCGTGGTGATACCCCGGGAGTCTTGGGGGAGCCAAACTGCCTCACAGCGTCAACAGCTCAGCGTCCACTGCTAGCTCCTCTCCTCCTGTGTTATGGACCGGGAGTTCGTTGTGAGCGCCTACTGCTGCTCCACTGCTCTTTCCCAGGCTATCGCTGCGCATGCTGATTGTTGTTTATGGCTGTTGCTCACTCGGCCCCGCTCCCCGCTGCTTGCGGTCTGCTTGCGGTCTGCGGCACATACGACCAATCGCCGTTAGGACGTGGACATGCCCGAGCTCGGGCCGAAGCTTCCCAGCCACCACCACCACCACCATCAGGCGTCCGGGGGGAGCCATGGGAGGAAGCAAGGGCCTCGCTACGGCGCATCTGGCACAGCCAGCGGCAGCAGAGGTGGTGGTAGTGTCCGCTCATACCTCGCCAGTGGCGATCAGTCACGTAGTCGCGGCGGAGCTGGTTCAGCGCAGGGCAGGCAGGTATCTGGGTCGGCAGCGGCAACGGCAGCTGTCGCTCCCCTGCCTCCCAGTGGCCGCAACGTGACTGGGTTGGAGGTGGAGGAGGCGGAGTCACGGTCTGCCTCCGGGGTGGTACAACATCGGGGATCTGAGGTGTACAGGCAATTGCGGGTGCAGATTCCGAACAGCCCGAACTGATAGTGTAGGAGAGCAGCTCGAAGCGGGGAGTGGCGGGGGTGATGATGGTGTTGATGACGGCGACGGCAATGGGGAGGTGAAGTAGGCAGCGGAGGGCGTGCAAGGGGGCCCCTCCGGGTCGCAGTGTATGGTGATACCTCCTGCTTTGGTGCTCTGGAAAGAGGTGCGGGGTCGGTGAAGCGAGGGCGCCGGTGCATTGGTGAGCAGCGAGGAGCTGTGGCGACGAGGAGGGAGGGGGAGGGGGAGGGGGCTGCGCGGAGGGAGGCGGTGAGGGGCCGCCGCAGGGGCTCTCTTGAAGCCGCCGCCGAGCCGAAATGCGCCGCGGCTGGTTCTGTAGGTCGGTTGGTTGGTTGGTTGGCGATCTTGGCGTTGTGTATTTTAGTTCACTATCACTACATTTAGATTGGCCCCTGCGCAGGAGGGCCGATGCATGCATTGCAGCATGAATGCAGGTGATAGCTACGAGGCGAGAAGATATATCCGCGCGCTAGGCTGCATGCCTAAAGCTGCGTCCTGTTCCGTTATAGGTTGATGTGATGTGTGGCGGCCGTGTCGCGGTGTGGCTAGCAGTACTGCCGTATGTTCCTTGCAGTGGTCTTTCCCCATGTGGGTTGCGTCACGTAGGTTTTGTGCGATCTCTGTTTTGCAGTGCAGTGCAGTGCAGTGCAGTGCATCAGGTTAACACATGTTGATAGAGGTGCCTGGAGGAGGTGTGCTTGATGGCGTGCGACGATTCGGGTGTAGGGTAATCTTTTTTTGATAAGAGCGGAGCTTTTGGTAGTAAGGATTATAATTATTAAGATATAATTGGTGTTGGTAGGATTGTCTTCCCTTTCCTTTTCCTTAAGTATGTACTTAAAACGTGAGTACTTTAAATTAGTTCGGGGGACCCTAGAGGAAGGGCTGATCGCTGTTTGGGGTCCCTGTACTGCTGCGATAGTTTTTTCAAGCCCACACGCATGTTTGTTGTGTGGGATAGGATGTGATGTTAACAATGATGATTATCACCTTGTTTAATGTACAGTATTTTGTACCGTTACGTAGCCCGCCGTACTTCCAGAGAGCTGAAAACTTTGCTCGTAGATGCGCGTCTTGAGCATTGGATGATAACGAGAGCGCGATGTGAAGCAGTGTGTGCTCAAAGCTTTGTTTAGTGCAGCGGCCGAGCGGCCGAGCACAGGTCAGTCAGGTGTGCCTAGGTGGTAATGCTTCCGCAGGGATGTATCCTATTATATTCGAACGCAGGCTTGAAGGGGCGGGGCTTCTCATGAAGCTGCTAGAGCTGGTTAGCTGGCTGGCGGTGCGGGGGGAAGGAGTGGGATCCGGTGCTAGTTACAGCGGTGTGTGTTTATTGAGTTGTATAGCATGTATGGCATGGAGGGTCTGAGTGAGGGGGCAGGCGCATAGGCACCACCTGGTAGCAAGGACATGAAGTGTGGCCGGGTGGTCGTTGGAAAGCGGTTGTTGGTTCAGGTGAACTGATTCTGTCCGCCACCTCACAGGCTGTCTGGCTGTGTGGGTTGTGGCACCTCGTCGAGTTGGGGAACTCGGGGGCCGGTCAGTTAAGAGCCAGTCAGTCTCACCGAAGTCCGCAGTCAGTTGCAGTCAGTTAGTTAGTTAGCCAGCAGGCTCCCGGGGGGTTACATGCGGCGGTTGCAGGTGGCCAGTGCGCTGGCAAGCAGGCCGGGTTGATATGGCGTTGATACGTGTTCGCCAAGATCCCTGTCCCTCAGATCACCCCCTTGTTCTCATAATGTGTACTCCGGATGTGTAGTGGAGGTCCTCTTAGGTCTGCAGATGCACGGCGCCTAGTGCTGGAAGTTAGTTAGCTGTCGCTAGCTGCGGCAGGTGCAACTGCGCTCATGGCTAGAGAGGCGGTTGGCAGGCGGGCTGGTCGACCGGCTGGCTTAGCATGGAGCTTCCCAACTTAGAGGCCGGGCGGTGAGGGATGGTCGGGCAAATTGACTAGTAACACCAACATACATACAGGTGACTGGCAGAGATACAGTTTTTCCGTTCGGCTGCTGTTATGATGGTGTTTGGCCTGGTGATATGGTGTTACGAGCTCGAGCTCATAAGGCCTCTCAGTGCTGCTGTGCAAAGTTTACTGGGACGGTTGTTGTAGATGTGTTTTGTCAACTGAGCCGTACGACCCACAAAGCCGGAAAGGCTTGACGGACACTACGCTCGCTGTGGTCGTAGCTGAGCTAGCTGAAAGCTGCTAGGACCAGCAGACCACACGTACCTGAAGTGTGGCAGAGGCAAGTCACGCGGATACTTGCAAAGCTCCCAGAAACGTCGCAAACATTCCCACGGCATGTTGGTTGATGGCCCTTCAGAAGAAAGAATGGGAAAAAGGCAAGGTATCGATCCAAAACATTGCCTAACTACAGCCGATCAGATTATCCAATCCCCTGAGCGCTGTTACAACGAAAACAGCTGCACGCAGTATCCTCCTATTGCTTGAACTGTACACTCTGTCATTTGCATCCCAACAGCTTCCGCGGTGTTGCTCTTCAATTTTCCATGGCAAGCGATCCGTGGGTAACTGGGTTGGACCTCTAGTTCAGAAAACCTCCGAAGGCATTGAACCGCCTTTCCGGTACTGCCCGCAGCTGCTCAAGGATCGTGAGATCTGGATCCTGCGACTTGCTGTGACCGATGGGGACATGCCTCCCGGGCGACAGGGAATCTGGCGTGTGCGGAGTACCTGTCCCCTCGGAAGCAGAGCTGGGCGGACGCAGCCATGAGGGGACGGCTCCGCGTGAGGCGATGGAAGGGACCTCGCCACTAAGAGGCCCCGTGAGGAACCGCGTCTCCAGGCCGATGTGCCCGCTTCTGTTATATCCTGCATCCCTGCGGAGAGTACACAGCGGCCAGGACATGGACTTGTGTACGGCAAAGAGATGATGAACGTACTGCGCAAGCGCGATGTCACGGACTTGGGGCTGTCGGTGTGACGGCGACGTTATTAAGAGAGGACGAGGAGGTAACGTGCGCAGAAGAGAACTGACGATATGGGTATGGGCAAATGAAGTCCAACGATGTCCGATAATGCGCCAGGCGAGGCCACTTCGTTGTTGCTGAACAGGAGTAGATGTTTGTGAAGCGGAGGGGAGGCAGAAGAAGTGACACAACCACTTCTCGACTCGCTGGTGGAAGTATGCGGGAACTTTAGAATGCATCGTGCTTGTTTTCAGTCCTCCAAGGGTTTCCTGAAGACGCTAAGGCACAAATGGTTCATCCTATCAAACCTAGACATCGATGGGGCGCCTGGGGCCTCGAACAGGAACGACTTGGGTAATAGTGACCGCCTACACATATTTCTTGCACCATTTCACAGGCGAATGCTAGGTTAAGAGCTCTTCGTCGTCTCCTGTGAGGGCACACAAACCAAGGGCTGCTACAGCACAACTAAAAAACAACCACTCTCTCCCCTGAAGGCTCGGGCCGTCGCGCGTATATGCAACATAATGCGGCACTAGCTATTTATTTTGACAAATATAACCTAATGGTTATTGCCCCACAAGACTTAGATCCGTAACTTTGTGACTTTGCACAATATGAGTGCCACGAAAGAGCTTCTCGACATCGCTGCATCGAACGTGCCTTTTTTGTTACCAACCTTTGGGTGAGGATGCTAGTTTCCATGAGAGCGTTTGTAGGTTTTGAGCGCAAGCCTTTCGTCGTTTCGTGGCGCAGATACGCTGCGATATGGCTGCTCTTGCGCTTCGTTTTCTACGCTATTTTGCGAGCCTACTGGAGAACAAAGCCCGGCGGCAAGGGGATAAAGGACCTTGGGTGCGTGACCCGGTTGGAATGCTGCTGAGCACCGGTAGCTTAATGATTCGTTATGGCCGGGAATTCTCTACAGACTTCAAGAAAAGGTCCTTGAGGAGTCCTTTGCCATCCTTGGCGCCGTGGTAAGAAAGCCCTTCGCCATCGAGCAGCACATCTGCGCGCCGCTGACTGGCATCCCCTGGCATCCCCTGGCATCCCCTTTTTACCCCTCATGCGGCACGCCAACAGAAGTACCCACAGATATCGACATGTCAGCTCTGCCTTAGCATCTCCTAACGCCCGGCTCTCCTCTTTCCCGGCTTCGTTCCTTCCGTGACCCCCAACCCCCGTCTTAAGGTTGCGTGTGCTCTGGGCATCCAAGCCTTCCAGCAAAGGTACATGGCGCGAGGCAAACAACCCGGGAGTCGATGTCGCACGGATAATGGCAAGATGCTCCTTGGGGTTTTCTGTACACTTTCATTGTGCGCCCACCGTCGGCCAGGGTTGCATGTGTGGTGCAACTCACCAAGTCCGTAGGCAAGGCAACATCCAACCAGAACGCACGGGTTATGCATGAACCTGTGCCTATATGCCAGGAACGTACTAGAACTCTTTGCGCCTCGGCCCCACGCGCATTCCTCCTCATGGCCTCTTATGCCGCTCCCTCCCGCACGCTGACAGCGACCAAGGCGGCTGCGGCCTGTGGAACACGCTTGGATGCTTTGCCGGGTGGCCTAATGCCACGGGTCACCGACATAGCTCTATAAGTCTGTACCACAATGTCGAGCTGGGTTGGTACCTGCATTACCTCCTAAAGCACTCCCTGGGTGCGTCTGTGGGGTGTGGGTCTTCTGGAAGGTTTTGTGACGGTCCGAATGTGGACATGCGCGTTTGGACAGCAGGTCACCTTAAAAGCGCGTCACCGTGAGAAGAGCCTTCTGGTTACGAAGAGGACTTGTTGCCAGCCATTCCCACTCTTTCCTGTCTGCGCAGGTATTGGCATGCAGGACAACCTCCAGATGCACTTGCACCATGCCTCAACCATCTCACTGCTGCTCATCAGCTTCACACTCAACCTGTACCGCTCAGGTACGGACTTCCCTCAGTTGGGGAGTTGGTTAAATACGTTGGTTAAATACGACTGCACAGGAGCTAGCGGGACGCACACACACACACACATGCGTGCGCGGGCGCAGACACATGTTCACAATATGCACACGGACAGGGTGGCGACCTGTGTTGAGGAATTAAACCAGCCCCAACAGCCCCAACAGCGCGAGGATCAGCGTCGGCTCGTTAGCTGTACCTAACGCCATGTTACCTTCCGAAGCATTTGGGGCTGTTGGAGCTTGTGTGTGCCGTGTTGCGTTGTGCTTTGTGGATGACATCGAACCCGGTCTATCATGAAGGGGCGTGTCAGTGCAGGTGTTCCTGTCCTCATTGCGTAACCGCATTGACCACAACCCGTGATGTTCTGCGGTTACTGTGCCATCCAGGCGTGCTGGTGCTGTGCCTCCTCAACCTGTCGAACCCCTTCCTTCACGTGGCCAAGGCGCTGCATTACCTGGAGGCGTGAGTGGCGGGGAGACACAGAAGCAGCGCGGGAGGGAGTGGGGAGGAGAAAAAGGGAGGGCGGCAGGAGAAGCTGTGATAGACGGTATCCTTACCTTTCCAACTGTTAACAATACATGATAATCCACGTAATGCCTTAACACACACATTCTCGCGTTCTCTCTTTTTCCATCCCTGCCTCCCTCGCACCTCTACTGTCCTCCTCGTTGTCTATTTCCACAGATCTGCTGACACGGTGACGTTCCTGCTGTTCGCGGTCGTGTTCTTCTTCTCGCGAGTTGTGGCCTACCCGGCAGTGGTGCTCAGGGCGTGAGTGAAGGGCGGGAAGGGGGTGCCCTCAGGGGCATGGGGTGCAGTTCGGGGTCCAAGGCGGACAGGAATGTAGGGATTAATGTGGGATGTTGTTTGTTGTTGAACGTTGTGCTTCGTTAGCGATGTGGCCCCGAGTCTGTTTTGGGATCCAAAAGGTGATGGGGGATGCTGCGGGGCACAGATACGTTTGCTTAACATTGAGCTGGCAACGGAACGGTAATGCAGCCGCGCTTTTCTGCTGTTCCGGGTTGCGTTTTTGCTGTCAGGGAGATGTCATCCAGCCAGGCTGGGTTTGCTGTTGCTGTTGGGATGGCTCTAATCCGGTTGTTGAAACAAGTTGTTGATTGCTGTAATTGCCATTGGCACTGGCTACCACCGTCATCCCATTGGAACCCACCCCGCCTCTTCCCACCACCTTCCTCGGCAGTACGCTGCTGGAGAGCTGGCAGGTACACCCGCCCTTCCTGGACCCGAACCAGCACCTGCCCGTGTACCTGGCGGCAAATGCGCTGCTGCTGTTGCTCATGGTGATGCAGCTGCAGTGGTTTGCGGGCATCGTCAGGTGGGTGGAGGACGCGGAGGTAAAAGCACAGGGCGGTGGGGGCGAAATCAGGGGTGTGTCGAAAACCAGTGGGTGTGGTTGGGTGGTGGATGTGTGGATGGATTCACATGGCGCCATGAAAAGATGAATGCGGTGTCGGATGTGGTATCAATACGTGTATCGTGTTGGATCGTTTATGAGCTTACTGTTCTGGAGTGTCCTGGGTACGTACATGGGGGTTCCCCCAATGTAAGACCTGGCGTCCTGTGTATGCTCTGTATGATTATACCGCCTGTGCGTGCGATTACCGTAATGTGTTACATGTTTGACTCGGCGAATTTAAAACTTTTTCACCGATTGGTAATGTTTTAGTGACCAAGTGGTTACTGTGGGTAAGGTGGTTACTTGGTAACCACCTTACAAAAGTGTTTCCCCAACGAGTGAACGCTGAACAGGAGGAGCCCACTAGAACCATGCATCCGAAGATTCAACTTCGAGTCTTATGTACGGCAACGTGTTCCCGAGCCGAGCTCGCTGAAGCATCACTGCTCCCATCCAAGCGTCAAAAACATGTTTAGGTGGTCACTACCACTGCGGGGTCTGTGGCCCAATTTCCTGGCGGTCACCTGGTTACTGGCAGATTACACAAAACATTTCCTAGTGACCATCTTCCGGAAGGGAATTATTTTCTCGGTAACCACATGGTCACTAGTAACCACTTTTAAAAGCACTGGTGCCAAACCAGTGCTTTTTTTTATTCACTGTTAATGATGACCTTGCTGCTCCAACCTCTTTACCTCACCACCCACCATTGGTAACAGTGGGGAGCACCCGGAGAGCATTCCGGCGCCAATTTCTTTATTTCTTCCCCTCGCACACTCAACAGGCTGCTTACCAAGGCCCTGACCTCCTCCAAAGAAGAGTTCAAGGAGGAGGGCAAGGCGCACGACTACGCCAAGACCAAGCACGAGTGAACTCGGTCCAGTTCACGGCGGCCCATAGAATGCAGCCGGGAAGAGGGAGAGCCGCAATGACCATCTGGGTCAGGGAGATGTCATGTTGTTGGGTTTCGGCCTTCGCCCAAAACATTGATTATTCAAGAACCCTGCAGGATAGGATGGCTGGAAAGGGGGCCACCGTCTTGGAGGGGGTGGAAGAGAGCTCGAGGGGGGAGGGCTGATGGGAGGGTGCAGGGTCCAGCCGTGGGGCAGAGCCATACACTGGCAATGCAACGCGAAGCGAGTGAGCGAGCGAGCGAGAAACTGCACAGGAACTGATCCAGCACTTGCACGTATATGTGCGTGAGGAGGGGGAAATGTATGTGTGTGTGTGTGTGAAGGGAAGGCGTAGCGCGACGATTTACAGTCCATTGCGGCGGTGCAACTGACCGTTTTAAGGCGAAGCACCGCGTATAGGAGAGCACATCAAAAGTAGTATTGATGGGCGGAATTTTCCTGTTCTAGTCATGTGATTGTGCAGCTTTTTGAGACTGACTGTAAGAGCCGTAGCGAGAAGTCGAAATCATTCCTCGTTTGGGGTTTTGCACGCATTGACATGACGGCAAATGCGCATATACACGCCGACTGGCACACCTCTAAAATACAACTTTATGATTCCATGCTATTTTTTTGGATGTCGCTGGATTGCTGCAGGCTTATCTCATTGCGTGTCAAAGGCGCCCAGGAACTTGTATATCCGGAACTGTCCGAAGTCCAAAACTTGGGATGCTATGAAAATGGTGCGAGTTCAGAACGTGACATCGTGTATGCCACCTCCCCCTTGGTCGGTCTGCATCAAGGCTGTCCCCATTTCATAGGCTAGGGCGCGGAGCCCTTCAGCAGCGGCGTCTCGGGCGCCAGAAGTGGGTGCTGAGTGGGTGACAGGCCGGGCAACACAACTTGAAATCTTCATCGCTGCCGCCTTATCGCTGAAAGCGCTACCCATGCACAATGCATGACGGCCTTCCTGACCACTTCGGCGATTGTGATGGCTCTCTGTGTGTTTTGTATGTATGTTTGTACGTTTGTCCGTCCGTGTGCTTTGTTGTTCACCCGCAAACAACAAAGCACGTCCGTGTTCGCCGTCCATTCTTGCTTGTTTAGGAGCTCAAGCGCCTAGTGGAAAAGAAAACACCCTCGGTTTCGCACCGGACGCTAATCGTCTTGCTGTATGCCAGCTTCGTAGCTTCGTAGGGGGGATTTAAGAATTAATCATAATATGTTGCGTTACCTTGGTAAGGAATTGAATGGTGTGGCGCGCCGGAAAGCATTGCCCGTTGCTGAGTGTCACTGTCCCACATGTCTTACGCTGCTGACCTGCTTGGGCGAAGGGGGGGAGAGGGCGTGTGGCACCATCAGGCTGTGGGTGACCCCTGCAAGGAGGTGCAGCAGAGATACGAGAGGTGCTTGTTCGCAAACAGCGAAAAAGGTAGCGATAATGGTGGGGGTGGTTGCAGGGCCGGGCCGGTGGGGTGCCGGTGGTAGGTAATGATGCTGGTGGTGGTAGTGGGGGCGGGCCTTGCGATGAGCGCCCGGGGCGCCTCCCGGGACTTCTTGTGCTCAATCCAGCAGCCCCATCCGCGTGGTCGAGGGCCGCGGGGCGACAACGGACTTGGACGACGGACTGGCAGCCTGACGATGCCGCGGTTCCAAGGCGCTTGGATGGGGCCACGGCACTTCTGGAGTCGGCCGCGGCTGCGGCTGCGATAGAATGAATTGTAAATGGTAGGGAATCATTGGCGGCACGCTCTCTGGATTGAGTTCCTCCAGCGAGGTTCTCCCAATACAATAATTATAAAAGTTTTATTCCATTGAGATACGGATACTGACCCCTGGGTCGCGACAATTATGACGCACTATCATCGGCCTTAGGTTGCTCATGTGGAACCCCGCTACTATAGCCCACATATACAAAACACATACAGTGGACCGATCGGGGTCCACTGCAACAATCGCATTTTTCTATAGCTACGAAGTATCAAACATGAAGGTTGAAATGCCCTGCATGCTTCTGTACGGCATGACTCTTAGACTTATGGCATGGTCGTTAGGAAGGGAGCTTTGAACTCTGTGCGGACAGTCCCTGGAACAGTCTTTGTGGTGATGGATGATCAGTCTGTAGATCACGCCAAGATAGCATGTCGAGCATGGACTTAAACTGTTCTGGGAAAGAGGCATGCTGCCTCTGATGAAGTCAGCCTCCTGCGAGCCAGCTTACCCTCGCTCATCATACCAGCCCTCCTCCCAGGCCTGCCCATGCTCTTAATTCATGCCGTGGCGATCCAGGCTTCTTTTCCTCCGTCATTTCTCCTTTAGCCTTAGATAGCTTTATGTTCCTTTCATTTCAAATTCCATAGCGTTTCTGTCGATTTACACCAAAAGTAATCCTTTTAGTTTCCTTCGATTTCGCTTGGATAGAGCTGCGACTGGCTTGGGGTTGGGCATCGTGCCCTCCTCCTTGCTATGAGCCCAGACTCTTGCGCAGACTTTAGCATGATAGCAAGTCAAAATCCATCCGCTACTCCGTCCCCCTTCGCGACCCAAGCCAACTCCGATGAAACGGCCGCTGCAAGTTGTTTATTAACCCCCCGCTATGGATCTGCCAACAGCGACCAGGAGGATGTATGGCGAAAGGCCAGCCTGTCAGCACAACAGCGACCTGCAAGCGAAAGCGACATCCCAACCCCTCAGCTTAGTACCGGCAGCGCCCTTGCCCCCGCGAGCAGCACTGACGTCACCACCGTCTCCCCAAGTCTGCCGCCAGCGATGACGTCAGCAAGCATTGGCAGTTCTATTGCGGCGGGTGCCGCGGCGATCCCAACAACAGCGTCGCTGGCGGTGCTGGTCGATCTGGGCAACCACGCAGCGGGAATGGCAACCGGGGCGGCGCCACCGCAGCCGACAGCCGCAGCCGACAGTCTCAAGCCCATGTTTCACGTGATGCCCGTCAGCGGTTGGGGCTCCGACCCCAACGGACCCATCTTCTACAAGGGCCGATACCACCTGTGAGCGCAGTGAACGGGGGAGGTGGGAAGGGAGTGCATGAGGTGGACGGCAGGGATCGGCGCGGGAGGGACAGGCACATACAGAAGATATTGGCCTGACCACCAGAGCCATCGGTAGGAAGTCCCGGAGAGACAGTGGATACTATAGCTACAGAAGCAAGGGCGGTGACAGTGATGACAGTGATTATAGTAATTTTGTTGTTGTGAGGGGCTCCATCCATAGTATCACCAACGAAGCCACTACCCTCCCCAGCGCAAGGACATCCTGTCTGGCCTGCCTCGCGCCCGTGTTGTCGCACAGGTTTTACCAGGCGCGCCCGGGTACGTGCCAGTGGTACTGGGGCATGTGTTGGGATCACGTGGTGTCGTACGATCTGGCGCACTGGGAGCGACTGCCCATGGCGCTGGTCCCCACTCCAGGGGGGATTGACGCGGACGGTTGCTTCTCAGGATCCATCCAGGTGCGTGCAGAGCTGCGGGAATCAGTGAGGGAATTATTGGCGATTGGGAAAATGAGCGTGAGTATGACTGATAAGTGAGGCCTCAGCGGCGGAATGTGTCCGTGTCAGTGACCCGTGGGTCGTTTTAAGCTTCCCTATTCCTCACCCCCTCTCTGATGTATCCTTTCCCGTGCTGCATTCGAATTCGTAATAGCTTGGCTGTACGGCCTAAGCTTGTAGCTGGTGGCTGTACAGTCTAAGTGACGTCAGTACGCGTGTGTGCGCTAGGCATCGTCGGAATTGCGTGAACCACCCAGTCCGTCGGGGCCCGGCGCTCCCCCCACCCACATCCCCCACATCCCCCACATTTTAGTCTTGGCGGCTAGGTAGGTCGTTTTCCGCTCTCGCCGTCATGACTACTAACATCACCGCGAGGACTCCTCCTTCACAAGCCGCGACTGGTTCACAAGCTATTGCTTCCTTTCTTCTGGCGTATCTGTCTATCCTCCTTGGCATCAGCTTTCCTCGTTCGTGGTTCGTCTTCCCTTATACCCCCCGGTGCAGGTTGAGCCCCAGTCCGGCATCCCCGTGTGCTTCTACACCGCCGCCCGGCTGCGCACAAATAGAGAGGTGGCCCTGCCACACCCGCCGCCCAGCCATGACATGGGCCTCAAGCACATCGAGACGCAGTGCTGTGCCATCTGCGATCCCGGTATGAGCGTATGCGATGCGGCGTGGGGTGAAGAAGCCGCGTGCGGTCGTGCGTGCGCGCGGAGAAGGAACCTTTCAAAGTCAATGCCATAGAGAGTGAAGCAGGAAGACCTGGCTGGATGTTTGTATCCAGAAGTGTTGTGGGTTGGGAGTTAAGATTCCGCCGAGACCGCGGCAGGCTGGTACACATTTCGAGATCAGGCCCTGTATGGTCCTGCTTTGAGTTGTTGATCGCCTTGAAGTGCCTAAAAAGGAGGGGCAGGTGGGCATTGACCTGCCCACTTAAGCTTAGCACAAGCTACCTGTTCCCTTTCTGCGCCTAAAACCGTCCCACGCGGGCACGGACTCGACCTCTTATCTCCCTTTTCGCTCAATGCGAACATTATTGATTCAGACGACGAGTTGCTGGTCAAGTGGCGCAAGGTACCGATGCCGCTGATGGAGCTGCCCCACACGGGCCAGCTCACCGCCTGGCGCGACCCGTGGTTCGTGGAGCAGGGCGATGGGCGCGGACGCGAGTGGACGATGCTTATCGGCAGCGGGCTCAAGGATGGCGGCGGTACGGCACTGGTGTACCGTACACAGGACATCACACGGGGTGAGACAATCCGTCGGACGCACTGGCGCGCTGGCGTGCTGTGGCGCAGGGGCCCTTGCCATGCAATACGACGCCGAATCGTTTCCTGATTTGGAAAGGTGGTTTTTTATGTCTCAACCAGTGTTCATTACGAGGTTAGAGACAAATCATAAGCATATAAGTTGGGAAATGATCTCTTCGTGCCATACTGGAGAGGAAGCCTATGTAACCGTGCGGCCTATGCCCTCGCTCAGTGAACGCGCCCTCTTAATAGAATCATCTGACTTGTTTCCTCACTAGAGACGTATGGCAACCAATCGGTTTCATCTGCCATCCCTGTCCGTCCCAACGAGAGGCCTTCCGCTGCTCGCTGGACGCCCTTCCTGGTTTGAATCTCGTGGGCCAGTCAGGCGTGGCTAGCCGGGTTCGATCACGGAGAGGTGAACAACCTGGTTCTGCGTCTGCTGTTGCTGTTGCTGCGCCCTGTCCGCCGGTCCTGTCCCCGGCCTCGCCCGCAGGTTGGCGCTTCGTGGGCCACCTGTGCAGCTGGCCTGATCCCGGTACCGGCATCTGTTGGGAGTGCCCCTTCCTCGTGCAGCTGCAGCCTCTGCCGCTGTGCGCCCACGTGCTCCCCACAACGGACCTGGCGGCGCTCATGGAGGCGGAGGGGGATGGGGAGGGGGAAGACGTGGTCGAGCAGACTGCGGAGGAGGCGAAGATGGTCAGGACACGTACTGCTGTACGACGTGGCGCTGCGGACACGTCGCCCTGGGTACCGTTACTCCGGCAGTCGCCGGACGCTGCGGCGTCAGTACCTTTGGCGGAGGAGTTGGCGGTATCGACAGCGGCAGCGGCCGCGGCGGCGGCGGCGGCGGCGGCCGCAGATGGTGTTGGCGGCAGCTCAGTGTTAGACAGCGGAGTCGGCGGCGGCGGCGGCGGCGGAAGCTGCTGCTGCGCGCCTGAGTGCGTAATTGCGAGCTATACGACGACTAGTTCGACACTCAGCGGGACAAGGACATCTCTGGACGACGACGACGGCGACGACGGTGACGCGGCCCTGAGCACGGATGACGCAGCCGTCCCCGACAGCGTCGAGATCGCTGGCGGCGGCTACGACCGAAGCAAGGAGCTCGATGACGCGAACGGCGGCTACGATACCTACGGTGATTATCAGCGCGATGACAATGAAGGTCGCCGAGTAGGCAGCGTCGCCAGCGCGGAGGGTGTGGAGGCGGTGGCGGGGCCGATGCCAGGTCCCAGGCTGCTCGTGAGCTCGTCGTCGGCGTCAGCGCTGACAGCTGACAGCGGCAGAGTGCTGGCGGTTGGCCTTGTCGATACGCTGCTCCATGTTGTTACATCGGCCGCCGGACCCGCGGTGACAAGCGGCGGTGCCGGCGGCAACGCGTTCGCCGACGGCCTTGGCCCGGCATCACTACTGCCGAGCATCGGCACATTAGCCCCCAGGGCGGCCTCAGCCGATGGTAACGGCGGCGGCGGCATTGACATTAGCATCACCGCAGCTGCCGCCGCGCCGTCGGGCGACGGCGCCGCTGGCGCTGCCGACGTGTCTACTGTGACGATCACGGTCACACGCGCTGCCGGCCACACGGGCGAAACTGAAGGCGTCAGCGGGGCTGCTGCCGTTGTTGCCACCGCTGCTAGTACCGCCGCAGCGGCGGCGGCCGTCGCCGGCGTCAACGGTGTCGGCAGTATTACGACAGCGACAGCCACCGTGCAAGATGGCGGCGAAGGTGCAAAGTCAGCGTCCGCTGTAATTCAGTTCACCGTTGCGCCGATGACCGCCGCAAGCAGTTTAGATGCTGTCGTACCAGCGGCTGCGGTACCGCGTAGGTCCGTCAGCTCACTCGATGCCGCACGGACCACCCAGCCGCCACAGCCGTCTTCCGTACCCGCCGCAGTCCCCGCCGCTACTGCCGACGAAGGGATTGCTGCAGCCGCACCAGGCCAGGCTCCGATTGTACGAAGCTGCTGCCTGACGAGCTCCACGCTCACCGCGTCCGCCACCGTACCCGCCGCCGCCGCCGCTGACCGTGCCGTACTTCAGGACCTGCACACCATGGTCACGCAGGTCATGGAGGCGCGTCGGGCCCGGGCCCGGGCGGACGCCGAGGCGGCGGCAGCAGCAGCGGCGGCGGCGGAGGAGGATGCGTCGCTCAGGGGCGACAGCGGCGGTGCCGTGGGCTCCGAGACCACGAGCGGCGGCAAACTGAGCTACAGCCCTGGCGTGATGGGCCACTCGGCGGTTCCGGAGCCTGATACGGAAGTGGAGCCGCTGCCAGCGCCCGTCACCATGCGCTACCATAAGGCCCAGCCGCTGCTGCCCGCGGGTGTGCCATACTCGGCCGCCGTCGTCGCCGCCAGCTGCCTGCCGCTGCACGGCGACGTGGACTCCGCCAGCGGTCACGCGCACGCGCCGTCGCTGCTTCCAGATCGGCGCTGGTTCTTCTGCTGCGCGCCCGACGCTTGCACGTACTCAATTATTTACTGGATCGGCGAATATGACAGTACGACGGCCAAGTACGACATGAAGGGCGCGGAGGCAGGCGGCCGGCCGCGTAAGCTGGATTTGGGCAACGTGCTTTACGCGCCCACCTGCTTCAAAGATCCTCAGGTATTTATGAAAGAGATCACCAAGGGAAGCTCCTTTTGGGAAATTCTGTGAGTAACTGTGGATATAGATTTTGTAAATTATGTGGAAAAAGTATGGAAGCGTATACCGGCTTTTTGTTTTCATGTAAATGATCATTAGAATTTACGCAAAGGGCGGTACCAGCTGCAGCTGCTTTCTCGTTCACCTCCTCACTCCGTTACTCCGCCCGCATCCGCCGCATACCAGGGCCGGCACATCCTGTGGGGCTACATGAAGGAGCTTCGAAATGTCCCTGCGCCGCCCTGCCTCTGCAACAAGTACAGCTACGCTGGTTGTGTTTCCCTCCCGCGGGCCTTATACCTGCGAGGGGATAAGCTGTTCCAGGTGGGTGGGCTGCAGCGGCATGTGGAGTGGTGCCGCACCCAGCCCGCCTCGGCCTACCCCCGCCCTCCCTCCCTCCCTGCCTTCCCTCCCTAGGGATTAGGACCCCCCCCTTACACCGCACCCCGCTCACACCGCACCCCCTGCCGCGCTGTCCCCCGCGCCCGACAGCTCCCCCTTCCCGAGCTGACGGCTCTCCGCAGTGACGTGGCAGTTCACTTCAGCCGGGTGTCGCTGACCCACGGGTCACCCTGGCGGCTGATGGGGCTGCGGGGGCTGCACCTGGACCTAGAGATGGCGATCAGGTGGGGGAGCGGGAGGGGTGCGAGTGCCAGGAGGAGCGGGAGCGGGGGGGACAAGAGGTGACGTAAGGCCCTGGCCCGGAGGATGGAGGGTGGGGGGTGGAGGGCGGGCGGGGGAAGGGACCGGAGCGCCTGTGTACTCTTATAGCCCGGTCTAGCTCCGGAACCAGGGGGCGGAATTGCCAACTACATACCCCTCCTCGCTTGTCAGCGCCGTCCCCGCTAACTTCCCCAACCTCCATCTCTTCCCTGTCACCCAATCCAGTCCCGGTACGGCGCACCGTACGGTAGTACTGCTTCGCAGCTGGCGTCCCAGGGGTCGTGGCGCTGCCGCCCTAGTGTACGACTGGACGAGCCGCCGGCTGTATGTCGTGTTCGAGGCGATGCACCCCAGCCGCCAGGCGCTGTGGTGCGGGGAACACCCCCCCGCAGGCGCCTCCACGGCCTCCGCCATGACGCCACCGACGCCGATGGCGATGCAGCCACCTCACGAGCCGTGGCGTGAGGGAGCCAAGTCCTCCTCCTCCCCCCCTTCCGCGGAGGCCGCTGTTCCCGGAGGCGGAGGAGGCAGAGGAGGAAACACCAGCATCAGCACCAGCACCACCACGAACAGCAACAGCAAGGGGGGCAACGATGGGAGCAGCAGTGACGAGGCGGCCACCTTGGGCGGTAAGCAGCAAGGGGAGAGCATAAAGTTTATCCTACCCCAATCAGTGCTATTAATATCGTTTTTTAGCGCATCCTTTGGATGTCCCTAATGCCGTACTTAGGCTGTACTGCACACTACATTACCGCATGGCGCCGACCCTGTGTTTTTGTTTTGTTGTTGTCAGCAGGCGCTACGTACGGCTGGCCCTCAGTGGAGACCGGGCTGCTGCCCGCGGAGATGGCGCCGGACGTTAGCAGCAGCGAAGACGTTGGCAGTAGCAGCGGCGGCGATGGCTGCTTCGTTGGGGACAGTGCCGGCGGGGCGACCACCATGTCACTATTGCCGCGAAGGAGCGGCAGTAGCAGCAGCAGCGGCCACCTGCAAGCTGAGGCGGCTGCGGGTGTGGGTGGGGTGGGGCCCTCAAGGCCTGACGGCGGCCTTGCCAGTGCCCGCATTGCCGCCGCTGCCGCCGCCGCCGGCGGGGTTGGCGGAGGCAGCGAAGGAGGCGGCAATGCCGATGGTCCTGAGTTGGACGAGCTGGACGAGGAGGAGAACGAGCATTTTGACGTCATCAGGTCAGTGATCAGTTGGCGGTTAGCGGTTTCCTGAAGGCGCGGACGGCAGAGCGGAGGAGGAAACAAAGTTGCGTTTTGTGGAATATGTTGCTGCTGTGTGAGTGATAGTGATGGTGGTGGTGGTGGTAGTGGTGGTGGTGGTGGTGTTCTTGAACTGTCACATTTGAAAAAACGGAGCCATTCACCGGTCGCCGACCTGGGGTGAGAGCTTGGAAACCATCCATTCACCCACCTTCCCAGCACTTGTGTGGTCTTCTCGCTTTAAAGAAGAGGCGGAGGAGCAGGAGCAGGAGCAGGAGCAGCACTTTGGCCAGCGACTCGGTCAGTCCGCCGACCCGCCACTCGCACCCTAGACAACCCACATAACATGCCACACCTCCCTCAACAATAACTGCCCATATGCGACTAACTGCTGCCTCCTATACCGCGTGGCAGCTATTAACACCCAACCTAACCCAATCTTCACCCTCCCTCGCCCTCACCCTCGACCCCGACTCCCCCGCAGGGACCCTGACTTCATTCCCGACCCCGACATGAACCCCCTGGTGGAGGACTGGATACGGATGAAGCGGGACGAGGCGGGTGGGTGGCTGGGTGGCTGGGCGGGGCTCTGGGGCCGATGTGGGTGACGTGTGTGGTAACCGCGGGGCGTTACGCGGCACGGGTAAATGTAAAGGCGGCGTTGTGGGTCGTGTCGTGTCACCCGTCCTACCTCCTCCCTCCCCTGGCGGGCCCCCGTCCCGGTCCGGTTTCTGTCCAGGCGGCGACTTGGACCTTCCCCCCGGCTCCCCCTTGCGGCTGCGTGTGTTTCTGGACGCGTCCTGCCTGGAGGTGTTCACCGGCAGCGGGCAGGTGCTCACAACCCGGGTGTATCGGGGACATGCGCCACACGTTAAGCAGCCTGACCACCACCGCCAACCACCCGACCAGCAGCAGCACGCTGACCCCGGTATCGAGGTGTGGAGTGTGGGGGGCAGCTGCAGCCTGGACGACCTGCACGCCTACGAGATGGACACAGCCTGGCTCAGGGAGGGGGACGCGCCGCGTCAGGATACTTAGTACGGCACCAACGGAAGCGGTAAACACCGCTATTTCCGTCGTCGCATTGATTGGGTTGATGCACGGGCATGTGTAGAGTCCAGTACGTGCGGCAGTACGTACGGAGCTCCGCGCGGGATGAGCAAGGTTGTGGTGCCCATGACGGCGTGCCCATGTCCATCTCCATGACGGCGTTGGGTGCGCGGTGCGGCAAGAGTTGCGGTTGGTTGGTAAAATACTTGTTGGCGGCCATTGCGCTGTGGTTGGTAGCAGCGACGGCGTGGCGATTTACACGCACAAATACACACAGAGACATCTACGTATATGCATATACACACGCAATATGTATATGTATATATAAACACACAATGTACAGCCAGTGCGTGGCGCCGGGGCCCGGGGGCCAGGGGGACCGGGGACGGTTTAGGGTGCTAGGGACTATCCATGGTCCTCTGGGTGTACGATTTGCATTTGTTGTACGTACACAGACGCGTCCAACAGTGTTATTACGATTCGTGGTCTTCGAAATCTGACCTATAGCCTGACCAAGCAAACCATTTACCGCAGCGGTAGCAGCGTAGCTGCTGCTGCTGCTGCTGCTGCAACAGCTTTGCTGCATTTGCAGGAGAGATGGATTATCGAGCGGCGCGGCGTCGTGGCCATCATCAAGCGGGGTTTCCTCTGAAGGCATGAGCACCGGGCTACACAACAGGAAGCGTATGAGTATGCGGCGCACATTAAGCGCCTTTTTTCCATTTTACATCGTCCACGCGTGCTGCTTCTGCTGCTGCTATCGCTGCTAAATTCTTCAGCTAGCACTCCTTCTCAACATTACCTTTCATTCAGTATTAGCAGCCGGAATGCGGTCCGAGATGAGGGGAGCAATGGAGGTGCGCGGATGATGAGCGCCGGATGAGAGAGGGTGATGGAGAAATTCTCACGAGGGGCAGAGCGGGTGAGTGTGATGAGGGTGGCTTCTGCCAACCGCCAACCAAGGGAACCATTCTTGGCGGCTCCCAGGAGGGTATGTAAGGCGGCGATGCAAATCGTTGATGTCAATCTATTGGTGCTTTCCCCGTTGGAAAATTGAATGAAAGTGCGTTGAAGAGGTTGAAGAGTTGGGAAGGGTGCAGTTCGCCCTGGCTAGCCTGGGTTTCACAAGCAGAGAGCAGGGGGTGATTTTTGTGTACGCGAGTACAGCGGCCGCAGTAGCTGTAGAGGCAAACCGTGTTTGCGCGGCCTGAACCCCTGTGTGTGTATATGTATGTATGTGTGCATCGTCTGCTGTCGAGTACAGCTTCGCTTGTCCGCGCTTTCCATTGTCCTTTCAGCTGCACAGGAGTGCCCATTGCGGGCTGCTCGTGGCATATACTCATTTAAGGACACGGCGTGTGGTGATGGGAGGAAGGGAAAAGCCGTATGCATATGTAAGTGGTGTCGTATAGTGAAAGAAAGGAAAGGGTAAAGTTCCCTGGTGAAGACGGTGGGGGCCGGCCCCCCACGGCGACGCTGGCCCATGCCTCGTAATACCCCGTCGGCCGATGACGCCCCGGGATGAGTCAAGGGGCACGGAAGGCGTATGGGCTAACGTCGAGTGGCCAGGTAGTTTTTGCGGGCCGGCAATGCTGCCTAACCTAACGCGCTGCTCGGATGTTGTGGATTTGTAACAGCTAATGACTGTACGTTTCCTAAAGCTGCGATACGCTGCGTCCAGGGTCAGCTCCCGTGTGCTTTTGGGGTTTTTGATATTTCAAGCGATGACGGATACGTGTCACCTCGTAACCAACTGTCAAAAGTAGCACAACAAAACTCCACCATGGCTGCGACCGCGTGGCTCCGAGAAACACGATAAAGCTATAGCTTGCGCACGTTGACGATGAGCTAACCGTTCGGGTGACGCAATGCGTCCCCCTGCTATCCCCGAAACTCGTTCGGATGGCCTTCGATTGGACCAGCTACCAGAGGCCATCGTAAGTGGCATCTCTGAAACTATAACTTGTTTCGCGTCTGCCCGAAGAGACGATATCGACGTGGCTGGACGTGGCAGCCGGCGTCGTACGACCCTTGGGACTGCCGATGGTTCATTGTCTGTAAGCTGGGAAGTGTACTTGAGACGGAACGGGTCTCTTATAGATATTATTATGTCGCACGAACGCGCATTTGGGGCTTCTAAATTGTCTCACATTTAAAAACCTCTTTGGCGCCCAGGTCCCATAGCTGGATCAGAAACAGAACTGCATGAGCGGGTTGATGAAGCATCGAAATACGTACTAACATCACACCAGAAGCTATATCTTTGCACTGGTAGCGGCTTTCGCTAGCTTTTGTTAAGACCGCAGTAGACCCTAATGTCGTCATCAGCGCCTGGCACCGGACAGAAGACAACCGTCTTGCTGGATCCATGGACAGCAGCGGTAGCTACAGCAGCAGCTAGACGCGGCGACCTGCAAAGGGCTGGTGCTCCTAAGGAGGGGGACCTGGCAGCATCGTCAAGGGCTTTCACGTCGACAGCGACAGCTCAGCCGCAGCATCAACCCGTAACACCTGGCGCGAGCCCCGTCACTTCAAAGTTTAATTTACCGCAAGCAAATGTCCTCCACATTCTGCGCACAGCCTACTACAATGCCGCGCGCAACGCGCACAAGGGTTCCGTTACACCAGACTCGCGGTCAGTTGCGCAGTCGTCAGGCCCACAGGAAGCTTTCATTTCGAATGTTGGAACACCTGGTGAAGGCCGCGAGTCAAAGCGGCTTAAGGCAGCTGTCGGCGTTGACGCAGCCGTCGCATCGCGTCGCGGAGCAGCAGCGCTTAAGCGTCTGTGTAATACCCTAGGCGTGGTGAGTGCATTTCATCTCCTAAAATGTAGGCCTGGTTTGGCTGGCAGGCTCGCAAACCGGTGTTCCAACTGCCTCGCAAGCCTCCTCTGGACCTTGGAGCCTCCAGTACGCTCATTTCCGCCCGCTGTGCGCTGTACTTTTGAGTCAGTATCAGGACATCAAACTGGCGCCGCCAGGCGTCCCCTTGCTGCGGCGCTTTTCGCCGCGTAATGCCCCAGACCTTTCCTCCTGGGCGGTTAGTCCCGCTTTTCCTGTATCCCGTCCTGCACCCCTCCCCTCCCCTTCCCTGGACCAGCTTTTTTACCCCAAGCTGACTCGCGCCCTTCCTCTCCCGGGCTCCTCTCACGGCTACTCCGCTATGAAGCTTCTCACGGCTACTCCGCTCACACCGAACGCATTTGGACAACTGAATGAATGAATTATTTGACCAACTTAATAACCTGATTAAAAATCGGTTGACAGGAGTTGAAATGCGGATTTTTTCCCCATCCCTCCCCAACTTTTCCCCGCATCCTCCAACCCTCATCCCCAACCATCCTCCACCCTAACATATACGATCCATTTACCAAACGCAGTTCACCCAGCAGCAGGACCTACCGGAACATAACCTGTCGTACGCGGTAGCCAGCAGCCGAGGATGGCGTGTGGCCATGGTGGGTCGGGGGGAGGGCGAGGGGCGAAACACAGCAGCCTGAGCACAGACATAGCTGCCCCGATCCCACCTCCTTCTTAAGGGCCGACTAGACCGACTAGAGCCAGGGAGAGGGTATGTGAGGACCTAGCTAGGGTGGTCAAGGGAGGCCAAGCCAGGTCCAGGGCGAGGCTGAGGTAAAAGGCGGGCAGGTGTAGCTAGGGGGGCCCCAGATTCTTGCTATAGCTTGCTTGCTAGCTATGGCTTGGATGATGCGTCCAAGTATGCTTGGGATCCCCTTAGTGGGGAGGGGAGGGGGGGGGAGGGGAGGGGAGTCGCTGTCCCGGCGATTCCGGCGTCTCATTGCCCATAGAGTGCCCGGTTGCTTAGCTCCGGCTCCGGCAGTACTACTTGGACAGGATGTGTTCCCGGAAGCGGTTAACAGCACATACACACTACTAACGCACACCACACACACACACACACGCGCGCGCGCGCGCGCGGACATACTCGCACCGTCCCACGTACCCGCCGTCGCTTCCGATGCCCTGAGCCGCGCAGGAGGACACGTATGCAGCGGAGGTGCCCCTGGACGGCACGTACGGCATGTCAATGTTTGCAGTGTACGACGGCCACGGCGGCGCTGAGGTGGCGCGGTACAGCGCCCTGCATATGGCAAGTGTTGTTGGTGGTGGTGTGATGATAATTGCATCGGGGCCATGTCTTGGTCTTGTTTAGGCAAAGTCCTAAGGACTTTGCCCGTAACGATCACTTGCGACCAAGCCTGAATGAAACCGCCGAATGTCTTACACGACGTACTTGGAGTTGGGTCAGGTTTCTGTCGCGCGCGCGTGACGTGTTGTGGTCGGGGTCTACTCATATTGTAGCTCTTTAGGCGGCAGAGCTGGTGATTTCGGCTCGCGCGTGCTGCGGGGCCACAGACTTCCTAATCTGTACCCAGCTCACACCCGGTGCGACCCGACCCGGCCTGCAATCCACTTGCCCAGCAAGACCATCGCAGCTCCCAAGATCCCACCTTCCCCCCCCTGGCAGCAGCTTCACTCGTGTGTGGTTCGTCTTTCTCCCCCCTCCCGCAAAACAAACACGGTGTTTACTTCCCTTGGGCTCCTTGCATATGTTTCCCCCACCTCAACACACACACACACACACACACACACACACACACACACACACAGAGAGACCAGATTCGGAACACCACCCGGCCGTATATTCTCTGCCCGTGTCCATGCCCAGGGTCGCGCAATCCGAGAGGCCTCGTCCGCCCAAGCCGCCTTCATGGTCCACGCCCACACCGCCGCGGCGACCCAAATCGCCACCAATAGCCGGCAGGGGGATCCTGCCGCAGCCGCCTCCGCAGCCTCTTGTGAAGGCGGTGGTAGCAGCAGCGGCGGCGGCGGCGCCCCTGCGGCCGCCGCCGAGGAGGCTCCCGGATTCCCGAGCGCGCCCGCTAGCGCCCGCGGCAGTGCGGGCACCCCTGAACCGCCGTGGGACAGTGGCGGCTCCGGCGGAGGGGCTGGGAGCCCCCGCAGCCGCCGTCACGCGGCTCTGCAGGAGGCGTTCCTGTCCCTGGACCGTCAGTTGGCGGATGAGGGGCGCTCCAGGGAGCTCATGGCGCTAGCCAATCCCGGAGCGCTGACGGTGGTGCCGGAGGCGTACGGCAGGTAATACGCAGTGTTTTGGGAGCAATTTTGTCACGAGGGGGAATGGCAGTTATTGTTGTCCAACTTGTTCATGCTTTGTAGATGTCCCCCTGCTCTATTACCATCGCTAAAAAGGTTGAGAGAGGACTGATAGGCTGCTGCGGGCTCTTAACGCTGTCTAGGTTGGACAGGCCTTCAGGTTTACCTGATTTTCTGCCTGCTTGCCGGAGCTTGGGTCGGGGTCTTCCGCAGCGTGATTGGCATTTCTGTCTACATGTTTTTTTTGAGCTAACAAATGTTATGTATTAGAACCCAATTGTGCATCCAGCAGGAGCCCAGTTTGTGTATTCAGGGCAGGTTGCCGCGATGCCCCGTTGTCAAGACGATGTCTGTTTTTGTGGTTGCTGTCTTTTCTTCTAGCCAAGCCAAACCCTGTCCTTCCCGACCCAGCTTTCATAGGGTCCAGTACAAATGGAAATGCCGAGCCGGCTTGTCTCGGCTCGGCTCTTCGTTGAGCTTCCTCGTCCCCCCTCTCTTAGCAACACAGGCAAGTTGAGCAGATGCATTTCCCGTCCTTGCCATCGCCCGTCCGCCCCCCCGCAGGCGCACCTACGGAGGCCCGTACCTAGGTCCTGTGGCAGGGTCTACCGCCAGTGTGGCTCTGGTGGACAAGCGTGGAGTCACTGTGGCCGCTGTGGGCGATAGCAGGTGTGTGTGTGTGCAAGAGTGTGTGTTGTTTGGAGGTAGAAGTCTACCTCCACAACCGAATTGCAAGACATTTAAGTAGGAAGTCTGTGAGTGTGTTGGGGCCTTGATGTGGTGGATTGTGTCACCACCGCGTGGTGTGCTAAGCATGAGAGTCAACGCGCCTAACTGATGACCCACATGCGGGGGGGGTCTCATCCTGGGAGCTTTTTACTTCTGCAAGCTGGTGGTTGTGGAAATGTGCAAGATGTCGTGGGTCGGGAATTTTTTTTTATTGGACATATAAAATAACCATGATTGCACCGTACGATGCGCCAGGGCCTGTGTAAACATGGCGGTGTGGGGAGAAACGGGGGAGAACGCAAACGCAAGGCGCTTTTTGTTTTGCGCTACCCGGTGTTGCACCTTGTGACAACACACAGCGCCTCCCGCACTATTGCGCTGGCGATATCGCATCGCCAACTGCCACAGCTAACATACTACGTATACTAACAACGGTCATCCTTCTAGCGGTTAGGCTATGAAGTGGAATACATGTCTCAGCGTTCGTGCGTGTGGCGGCATGGACTGCTTCCTCTACCCTGCGCCTTACATGCATCTGCCCACTACGGAGATATCTCTCTCTTCACCCATAAAAAGCATCACGCACAACGAAGCGCCTGACTGACACAAAGTACCACTTACAAAGTACACCTCATCCGCCCTTTTTTCAACCCTAGAAAACTTCCTAACGGCCCATTTTATGTGATGCTTTTTGTGCGCCATGACAGGTGCATTTTGGGCAGTCGTAAGGGCGGACTGATAGTTATGAGTATGGATCACAAGGGTAGTGACGCAGCGGAGCGGGAGCGAGTGGTGCGGGTGAGAGCGAGGGGAGGGAGCGAAAGTGGAATGGTGGGAGGCGGTTCCTGGCAAGGCAGCAGGAGTTGGATGGCAGTGAGAAGAGAGGGGATATAGGCAAGGCAAGGCTCAAGCCTTTCTCACGTACATCCCTGAAGGCTTTACGATGGGTGTCCTTCGGGTGATTCTCTTCTATACAATACCAGCTGCCGCCGGATGTCCCGTAGTTCCGGGGTTGAAAAGCCCTGCTCCTGCGCCGCACAAGGCAGGGCATGTTCTGTCCTGTCTGGCCGTTCTCCCGGGTTAGCTATCCACTGGTCGCAATCGCTCTATCCTCCGGCACCAGCACCGGCGCCAGCGGGGTGCTGTCTCCCCCCTTCTCCTCCTTCATTTCTCCCGCATCCTCCCTCCTGGCTGGGCGCGTGTCTTTCGGATGATGATGATGATGAAGTGTAACCCACACCCGTGTGGGCCCCCCCTCGCCCGTATTAGGCCCACTCGAGTCTTCCACTGCCTGGCCTTGCCCTCTAGGTCCTGGTGTAGCCTGGTCTCATCAGTCGGGGGGCCCACCGTGTCGATCCGGCCTGACCTGGCTCACTAAATCTCCCCGGGGCCCTGCCTGTCCCCGGGGCCCTGCCTGTCGTCATGAAGCAGTCGGTGGCCGATCTTACTTAGGCCCCCCATTTTCCTCCCTGGCATCCTACTCTTGCCGTTGGCATTCGTTGGCGTCGTTGGCATTTCCATACCATGTTATTTCCCCTCTACCATTTCCCGCCGCTCCCTACCTCGTTCTCCCCCGTCGTGAAAACCGCCGCAGGCTGGTTGTTGGGTGTCCGCCAGCGGCCGGGTGTGTGGCGAGCTAGACATGTCTCGCGCCCTGGGGGATGCCGATATGAAGCAAGCAGCCGGACTGCCGCCCCACCTGCAAGCCGTCACCGCCGACCCTACCGTCATGCATGCCACGCTAGAACCCAGTGGCAGAGGTGGTGCTGCCGGGTGCTATTTGCTGCTGGCCAGCGATGGGCTGTGGAACGTGTTGGATAGCGGCGCGGTGAGTGGCGGGGGGGTAGGGTGATGGGGTTTGGGGCCTGAGGCATGGCCGGGGCTTTGAGTATCTGGCTCTCGCATCAACAACCGCTTGGGACGCCCTTTCATGGAATGGGCTTGCGTCCATGGCCATTGCCAGCTTGTTGAACGGGTCGACCCGCGGTCCTGCCCGCCCCGTCTCGGCCGTGCTCCGTGCCGCGTCGTGTGTGAAAACGCGTCGTGCATCTGCTTTCAAATGAAAGAGTAGATTGGTTTATGTGTCGTATATGAAAACGTTACAAATTAGACACATTTTCTTAGTTGTTTGTGTGTCTATTGCATGTTAAAGGAATTTTTTTGCGCTACACTGCATGAATTCGTGCGACACCCCTTGTCCCAGGTGCACGAGTTTGTGCTGGAGCGTCTGGAGGCGGGACTGTCATCCGAGTCCATCTGTGCACAGCTCTGCGTGGAGGCATGCGTAAGCGAGCGTACGGCGTACGACAATGTCACAGTGCTGCTCATACAAATGCACGGCTTGCGGCCGGCCGGCGAGGTGCACGTGACGACGAGGGCTGCAGGCGCCGGGAGGGAGATGGAGACGATGGGTGGCGGGGCGGTGGCGAGTATGGAGGCAGAGATGGTAGTGGAGGTGGAGGTGGGGCCAGTAAACGAGGGGCAGCCGTCGGGCGGTTTGGGGACGGCGGCAATGGGAGGCCCTGGAGATAAAACGGAGACGATGGTTGAGAGCAGTGGTGCGGACGATAATGTTTTGGGGGGGTGGGACACGGTCGCGGCAGGCGGCAGGGATATGGGTGGTGATGGCGAGGTGGATACGGAGGAGGGGGAGGTAGACGAAGGCTGTGCGGAGGCGCAGGCGGAGGAAGTGCAGAAGCTGGCTGGGCGGCTGTGGAGCGAAGTAGCTTCCACCCCAAAATTCGGTTCCACTCTGTCCCAGTTGCCTTTGACTGCAGCTGGGTACGGCCAGAACGAGGTGGTGCGAAGTTCTGTGGCTGTAGATCGGGGAAGTGCGTTGCCTGCAAGCAGCCGTCGCGGGCTTGAACGGCACGAGCAGCCGGATTTGCCAGAGGGTGAGGCTTCCACGCCGCCGCTGGGAGATGCGATGTGCCGTGTCTGGATTCCTAAGTCGCTGATGGACGTGCCGGAGCGCGCCGCGAAGAACGCAGGTCCGATGAGGCGCAGCTGCAATTTGAAAGATGGGTCAGTGCTGCACAGTCTGGACATCGGGCACGATGCGATAGAGGACCAGGAAGGAATGCTTCTTGAGCCAAGCCCGATGCAGGAGAATGTGCCTCTCTCCTGAATAAGTAAGATGTTGCCGTGCGAAGTACGGCCTTAGAAACGGTTGTGAAGATGCCATGGTTGCTTTTGCTGTTTGGTTGTTTGGGGCAGTTTTTAGTACTTCTATGCTTTAAAGACATCGCAATCCTGAAGCTTAAACTTTCCAGCTGCAGTCATGAGTGACCCAGAGGCTGGGCTTGGTGAAGGGGACGCAGAACAAACTTATGATGATGCAGGCAACCAGCATGGTAAGAATTGTTTTTAAAAGACAGTAGTTAACGGTATCCCGTCATAGTCCATGAGCATGACGTCTCGCTCCGCGTCTTTCCACGGTTCAAAATTTCATTTACTATCGCAAACAGATCATGGACTTGACTCCATCAACGGTGTTGATCCTCTTACTCAACATGCGGAGGAGGGTTCGAACACTACACATCCGTCGGAACAACCCGATGTTATCTCGTCCTACACGGGACGGGAAGCGGTATCACAAACAGGCGGATATGGAGATGAGGTGAGAATTGCGTATCGTGCACCGGTATCACCCCGTGTCCTGCATTTCACCTCACATCCAACCACGGCCAACCCATGAACGCTCGCATATTCCCATAGGACGGCGGATATGCACAAGCCCCTACCGAAGCCGACGCAACCGACCCGCTCGATGGCGTCTCAGCCCGGCAAGAGGCTGTAGACGCCGGATACGAAGAACCTGCTGAATCTGGGCCTGACAACGCCTCTGCATATCACCACGACTTTGATGGGCAAGCGCAGCAACCCGAGCCAGGGGATGACGAGGATTCCTCGCAGCGTGGTCCAGCCGCAGCCGGTGACGACCCGCCGGCTGCCTCCACCTCCCGCCCCGCCTCAGGCACCCGGCCCTCATCTGGCCGTCCTAGCGCTACACGCCCCGGATCAGCTCGACCAGGCTCCGCCTCTGCAAGGCACGCATCCCCTTCCAACAGCCGTCCCATTTCCGCGTCCCTTATCACCCCAGACAGCGTCGGTCTGACCACTTCGGGGCAACCGGTCTCCGCACGAACACCCGGCAGCTCACGGCCCGGCAGCGCAACCACCGTGCCGCTATCGCAGCACCCGCCGTTGCCGCCGCCTGCGTCTGTGACGCTTCAACCCCCTCCGCCACTCGCATTTGGACCGACAATTCCCGAGGACCGCCCGCTGCATCCTGCTCTCATCGACCGCTACATTGCACCCGGACTCAAGGTGTGGCATAAAGGTTTGGATACGTCGTAAAACTGAGACGCGGGGATAGCGCCCAGGGTACCCATTTGGAAGGCCTCACAGGGACTCCATCAGCTGCAGCAGCGACGGCCGTAGAAGCACTGGTAGCGGCAGCAGTCCTATGGGTGGGTGGATGATAGCTAGCGCGTAAGTGTTACTGTTGACGATGGGCGGGGGAGCATCTTGGAAAGGCGGCAGTACCAGAAGCAGGGTTTGGTTCCTCGGCATGGTTAGTAGTGGTGGTGGTAGTGGTGGTGGCGACATGGTGGGTATGGGACACTCGGCACGGCGGAGAAGTTGAAGGACGTAACGACGCCGTGTGGGTTGCGAGCACGTCGTCCTGCGATTTATGATGCCGTGGGAAGGAAAGGCGCTGCCAGAATTTGCCCCAATCACATACTTGGCTCCGTGGGGTTGCGTGGGAAATTCAATACAGCACCACTGGCAGCGTCGTCGCCACCACCGAAGCCGCCGCCGCAGCAGCTTTCACAGCTGAGCCTGCCCGCGAGCCGGTGACATGCCCAGCAAAAGATGCCCAAGCAGTCGACAAGTCCAAGCATAGGGTATGGGTTGGGGCGGGCAGCCAGCCGCTCTCCCCAGTTTCGGATGGGCCGGGCGGATGGAAACCTGAGTGTTTCCCTCCTTACATAGCCCCTCCTACCGTCCAACACCCACAACCCCACACATACAGTCATACAGGCGCACTGCTTAACCCCCAAGTCCTGTCCCCCGTTTTCCCCCCCATCCTTAACTCCCGCCTTCCACAGGCCATAGAGGTGGAGGTCGAGCAGGGTCCGGGTCTGCCCCACCGACTAGTTCGTGTGCTGATGGACCTCACCCAATGCGAGTTCAAGCCCTACATGGGGGGATTCCGGAACAAGCGGACGGGGGCGGTGTATCACCACGCAGTCACGCAGACGCCACGCGCGCCCAAATACAGCGAGGCCGACCGGAAACTCAGTCGGGAGACACAGACCGTCAAGATTAAGCAGCACAGCCAGCAGACGGTGCGGGAGCAGGCGACGCAGATGATGCGGCCGGGGATGCTGCTGGACGAGACGTACGATAGGTGGGTCCGATATGGAACATGTATGGTACGGCAGAGGAGGGATTGTGCGTAGGGTGTCCCAGACCAGTTTGCACGTGGCTGCTACGGGGTGGGTGTGTTGAGGTTGGGAAGGTCGGCGGGAGGGTGGAGGCGGGCTTCAAATTCCCTTACCGAAGCTTGCCTTCCCAGTCGCCTCCGAGCCATGTTCGCTCCCTACCTAGCCGCCCGCGTGCTCATATTCGGATCTCGTCACTTGCAGCTCTGAAAAACCCGCATCTGCACTCCTGCTCCCGGCCCCTCAAACGCTGCACAACAACACCTCCAGGGAGGTGACCCCGGGTCGCTATCAGACCGCGGATGAGCGAGACGCAATCGTGCTGGCAGCCACCCGCTGCATCCAACGTTGGGTGCGCGGCTGGATGGGCCGCCGCCGGGCGGCCTACCTGCGGCGCAAGAAGGCGGAGCGGGAGGCGTTCCTGCGTGAGCAGGAGTTAGCGGCACAAACGGAGGCGGAGGAGCACAGGCGGCGCGAGATCCAGCGCCGTATGCACCCCCGCACAGTAGCCGATTTTGAGGTGCTGTACAATGAGTTGGAGGCGTGGCGGCTTCAGGAGACTCGCAAGATCAAGGAGGCGGGTCTGCCCAAGGAGCAGGAGCAGCAGGTGCTACAGCAGCTGCTGCACAAGGAAACTAAGCTTCTGCAGGTGCGCGGGAGGAGACCAGCGGGATTGGGACTTGTGGATGGCTGTTGGAAAAGGGGGGCTTATCCTCAAGTGCGCAGGCACGTACGGATACCGTTTCCCGCGTTTGGGTACCGAATGTTTGGGCGTACGCTTTCATTTTGGGAAGGACCTGCTGACCCCCTTGCCTACCTCCCCCGAACACACTCGCATGTGTGCGTCCCATCGCCCTCCCTCCCTCCTCTAACCCTCTTCGCCTGCCCGTCTACCTCGCGCACATAGACCATCGACCGGCTCAAGATCAATGCCAACCAGGAGAACAAGGAGTCGCGCATTCAGCACACACTTAATGAGATGTCCCGACCCAAGAAGTTTGCACTGCGCAATGGCGGCAAAGTGGACGTGCACACACCTTTCACCACACGAGCTAAGGAGCTGCAGCAACTTTACAACGGTGCGGCGCTGGCTTGTTCTATGATGTGGTGTGATGTGGTGTGATGTGGTGTGATGTGGTGTGATGTGATGTGGTGTGATGTGGTGTGATGTGGTGTGATGTGATGTGATGTGATGTGATGTGATGTGGTGTGATGTGATGTGATGTGATGTGGTGTGATGTGGTGTGATGTGATGTGATGTGATGTGGTGTGATGTGATGTGATGTGATGTGATGTGGTGTGGTGTGGTGTGATGTGATGCGGAGCTGCTTGCGTGGGTCTGTGTAGGGGCTCTGGGTTGGGATGGGATGGCATGACGGCACACGCCATGTGCCCACGCACGCGTTACCCCCGCACCTCTCCTCGCTTGTCCTTGTGTCCTCTGCTTGCACATCTCACCGCTTTCACACGTTTTCCCTCCGGCGCACATGTGCAAGGTGCAGCGCGCAAACTCGCTACCCCTGCTTTGCTCCCGCGTCCTACTCCATATCCCAAACGTCGCTCTGCCATCCTCCCGCCCCCTCATCCACACCCACGCACATTTATTTTTCAGGTCTGAACCTGCCACTGCTAACGGTGGACGAGCGACTGGACGTACTGCTCCATGTCAAGTGGACGGTCAAGGAGTTTGATTGCGATCTGACACGTGAGATTGTTGACCTTATTGACCGGGAGGCCGACCTGCTCAACCGCGGCCGCAGCCCCAAGGTGCTTGAGGGGCTGCGGAAGCGCATCTCGTCGCTCTTCCTGAACTTCATTGAGACACCCGAGTTCAACCCCGAGGCGGCGCGCTTTCAAATCGTGCCCATGGATTTCGAGACGTACCTGTACGAGAAGGTGGGCAAGGCCACCGCCAAAGCTGGCACGTCGCTGGGTGCACGGCCAACCATGGTGATGTGAGGGTTGATTGGTGATGAGATTTGAGGGGAGGGAAGGAAGAGCTGCGTGGCGGTCTGGGCTTAGCTGTGGCGCGAGCTGTGGTGATGGTGGAGCGGTCAGGATGGTAGTAGAACGCGAATCATACAACTCAGCGGCGGGTGCGGATGCTCACGTTTAAGTGCATGTCGCCAAGTGCGCGCGGGGAGACGTGCGCGCGCGCAGCGGTGTATGTGTGCAGGTGTGCATCGCGAGTTCCGGAGCGGTATCCAGGTGCCTGATGGAATAAGAGGCTCTATACCAAGGTGCGGTCCAGCTGTGTGTCGCGAGCCCAGCACCACTGCTCTCGATTGAAATGAGGCCTGACCCGTCGACTGGGTGGTGTCTGGAGCGGTGTCTGCGTGCTTGTGAGTGTGCGTCGATACCAAGCATGTGGGTTACACCGTGACCTTAGGCAAGCGGTGCCCTCGCGCCCGATGTGATGCGCAATGCCAACTTGGCGTAAAATAGTCATGCGGAACTATCTCTTGGCATGTGCCGAATATGCATGGGGTGCGGGTGGTGTGTTCTGTTAAGGTTTTCCTGTTCACCGTTTTTGGCATTGTGACGCGTGCGGCAACGCACAGACCACACCGCACATGTAGAGGAGGAGCGTGGTGATAGCAAGGATGCATGGGAGTTGGCAACTACGACAGTGGGGAGTCGGGGCAGGATGTTTGGCGGATATGCCTAGCTGGAGATGTAAGCGCGGCAGGAAGTGCCTGAAAGGTCGGAGGGATTAACGGAGGGGACGGGCGTGCAGTGTCTCGACGTTTCGCCTTACGGTGTTTGATCTTTCCTGTAAGTCGTTCTGTGCCATGTGCCTGTAGTAGGACAGCATGGGACTTTGGGTCATAACTTGCAGCAGACGCAATCGCACACCGCACCACATTTACGGATACATGTTGACGCCTACTGCAATGCTGAAGTCGAGACGTTTTGCGGTCCCTAAAGCAATCTGGAATGGTCGAGTTCAAATCATTACCTGTTGCTAGTGTATGGCTTCAAATTCAATGACGATGGGCTTGGACGACCAAGCCGAAGCTATTTGTAACGGGGGATTGTTAACTTAGATGCGACGGAGCCTCTAAGGCTGGTTCTGTGCAACTGTCGTACGAGCTGGATCGCAATGGCGATCCCTTAATCGGTGACTTTCTTCTCCCATATGGCCAACCTGCGGCAAAGCTGTTCAGTTTGCGTTCACGAATGGCTTCGCACTAGAATAGCAATAAGGGGCTGTCGTAATTTCATTTGGAAACGTGGGTTACCTCATTACCTCTTCCACTCAGCATCGCTGGCAACATTCCATTTTTTCAAGGGACACCACCACCGATGACATTCGTGGAATATCCACAGCCCACGCAGCAGTTGGGCAAGGTAAGGCTGGCGCCCAGGTTGCTGATGGCGCCACCGGCCAAGCAAGCTGCATCCGGTGTCGCCCCAGGTCAGCAATTAATCCGCTCCGCTGCCCGGTGGAGGAGGATCCTCCGCATCACTTAGCTTCACAAATATATCTCCTTGGCGGTGAGCTTACAACCAGTCTCTATGTCCAGTCTCTATGCAGAGCACGTTCATCAAGGGACAGTCTAACACAACTACCCCAGCACCATGGATGCTGAAATTAACGTTTTCCTAGCGGCTTTGGGTCAGGAATTAGAGCACCTACCCGCCTTGCAGCAGGAACTCGTTGTCACCCCCTGTAGGAGTAAAGTGTCCAGCAGCTTCTTGGTTACCCCCGCGGCCCATCACAACCGTCCTCGTCTGGCCCACCTCCCCTTAAGCGGCAGGCGCGCGGCGGCAAGGTTCATCGCCCTGCCATTGCTTCCAACCCAGGAGACACACAGCCCCTCATGCATCAGAAGCAGCCCACTCGCCCAGCCCTGCTTGCACCATCGGTCTGACCGAGCGCTTGCTGCAGCAGGGCGGCGACCTGAGACTTACCTCTCAGCCTGTGAAGATTGTGGAACCCCATTTGATTCTGATACAATGGAGCAGGGCGGCCGCCTATCTTTGGGGGCCTCCGGAGGCACCAGCTAAAGTGAACCTGCGAGCCGACCAGGAATGGAGTTGGGCCGCGGTCGATTCTGGCAGATTCCGTTGGATGCCGGTGGTGGGTGCGGAACTTGAGCGATCCACTGAGAAGTTGACCAGGTTGATTAGATGAGTGTGCCCCGAAACACCGGGGAAGGCAGGGTTTCGCAAAGGTAGCGGCCACGGGTGAAGATATGGCCCCCCTGTCCCACACATCATATAAGACTAATGATGTCGACTCGACAGCCACGCCGACCTGCACGGTTGCTCAACACGTTCACATGGCGTCCACGTGATGCGACGTGCTATTGCATGCGTGAATGACATTTCTGAAAAGCAAAGATTACGGAAGGCGACTGGAAGGGATCTAAATTAAAACCACGTCCAGGTGGTGCATGAATGTGTTTAAAGTGGTTACATTGCAGTCAGTACACAGGGACAACCATCAGGGGCAAGTTGTGGCCTAGCCGGTCGCTATATCTGCAGTACACCAGGCAGTCCAGCGGATGACGAGATGATAGGTCTGATAGATGCAGAACACGGCAGCAGTGACTCGGTCCATCAGAGAGGAACAATGGCTGAAGCCAAGCACTCCCTTAAGCGTCGCATTGCTTGGAACAGGTTGTCTGTTCATATCCTGTTCATATCCTACACTACACTACGCAGAGAATCCACCAACTCACAAAAGCCGAATATCTGCGCTCTCCCAGGAAGGCAGCCATATGCCAGGTTATAGCACTGAGGTTTGGCCAGAGATAACAGAAATGCATCACCAGCACATTGAACCCCTGATACCCATACGGAGGTGATGCTGACATGCTATTTGCATTCGGAGCATGACCGGTATTAAGCGACACTCACAGAAGACACCCCTAGCTTGGAGCCGGTGATAGAAACGTAGATAAAAGATGCGGGAAATGGTTGGGGAGCAGGGCTACCAAAGGTTGGCAACACTGAACACCGCTTTGCACACATCACGAGGCACGCCGCCAAGCCGCTCTCTGCTCCGATGGGGAACTGAAGTGCCCCTTACGCACAGCGCTTACTACCCTATCTAATACATTCCTGCCTGCAGCCAATGTCAGTCCCCCTTCACAGTATCTCACGACGGGCATTCCTACATAAGCACCAAGCATGCACACCCGCAGCACCCTGTCATATAAGTCAAAAATCACCTACCACGCGCAACCTGAACCCCCACCCGAAGTCCATTCGTTTGCCTTTGACACGGACTTAAACCCATCGCCCTGACATCTGGGACTGCTCACCACTCCCAGTCCTCTGAAGTGTACCCGGTCCTTCCACCCGCCATGGCTCTCTGTGGCAACAGCCTTCCTAGTACAGCATGCACCCCTTGCCGTGGCCTTCCCATTCCGACCCCCCCCATCATTTACAGCGCATAATGGGAGCCGGCATAACGGTGCATAGCTCCAAGACGGCTTCATCGTCATCCATGGACGCCACAGTCACACGATATCCCATTGAGCAGCTTAATAGGAGGTGAATATTACCAAAGCCGCCTACACGCCGCTCTAGCATAACTCGCCCTCCTATGTTTTCCTCCAGGTTGCCAAGCCCCCTGGCACCTTTCCTACACCCACCTTCACCCAAGTACCATAACATTGCCTCCCCTCAGCCTGAAGCCAGCGCCAACAACTTTTGTGCCGACCCGTTAAGGCCCGCTCCCCTCCCTACTCTCACCACGAACACCGCCAGCCCCACCGCGTATACTGCGACAACCAAATGATCGCGAGGACGTATCCCCGCATGCAGTATACAGCGCCTGCTCCGTCCCCGCCCACAAGGCACGGGAAGACCCTCAAGACAGCTTCACATTTGAGCGCATGAACCAGAAGAGGGTCGCCAGGCAACAGCAAACCGCCAGTAGCAACAATATGTCGCGGGCCGATAAGCCCGCGCGACGTCGCCGTGGTCGCCTCGACCCAGGCACCGATGACCGCTCCTCCGCCACCGCAGCATCCCTACAAGATGGTTGCGTTAGCTTAATTTAGTGAGATGAGGGCCGCGAGGCGTGAGCCCGGCTGCATGGGGACGGCAGGGAATGCTGAAGCAGCCGCACAGCAAAGATGCTAAATCGCAACGGCTTTACATCACGTCCACTGAGCTGCGGCACCTGAGATTTCGGAAACAGTGCCCTCGGCAGGTGGCAGTACTGAAAAATGCTCCATCCACGCCAAACGGTCCTTTTACAGGCCCTCCTCACCATACAGCATCCACCGGGCCTTGGGACACTCGGAAGTGCTGGGGCGCGTCCCCATGCACGGAGTCCTCGCACAGCCTTCTAGCCCATCGTCTGTGGTCTGCCCACAATGCCCTTCCCGTAAGCATCCCCTTAATTTCTGATTCTCCGTACCCGGCTGTGCTCTCAAAACCCCCCACGCCGTCATATATACGACTTCCCATGAATCCCTCTTTCCTCACCCCCCTCCTCAACCCTCCCGGACATCCCAGCGGTACGCGCCACCCACTTGATCGTGACAGGTAACCCCGGCTGAAAAAGCGACGGGAAGAGACGCTGCAGGGTCCGCTTCCATGCAGGTGGCCGCCGGGCGTACTTCTTATCATCCACCACGACAGCTGTGGAGCTGCTGCCGCCGTCCGCCGCAATCACTTTGCGTTTGCTGCTGTCCACAAGCAACTGGGAACGGATAAGGCACCGCGGGGATTTGCACACTGTCGGCAACACAGCGAACTGGGGTTGCTCATGGATGGATATTTGGACCGGATGGCGGCCTTCATGAATGACTATTGCTTTTGCTGAAGGTGTGTAGGAGCCGCTAGTGGCATGGCATGCTGCATGCGGGTTACGTGCTTTCCATCCACTCCTCTAGGCCGCAGCCTATCTCACCTGTGCCCGTGGTTCTGATTGCTGTCCCGCTTGGGGGTGAATCTCCGAGGTGGAGGGGGCCATCCCTGGAGTACACACAATGTGAAAACGCACGCGGAAGGCAGAGACCCAGATAAGGGAAACAAGGAACTTCACGCGTAGAAGGCAGTACCGTATACGTGAATGCTGCAAGAGACCCGTTTCGAAAGCGCTGGGCAACCGAGAGCGATGATAAGAAGATGGACGGACCATTACAGGCATGAGGGTGCAGCGCGGTAGCCAAGGAACGCGTCATCCAGGTGCGGTAAGTTTCAAAAAATCGGGTATTATGGGTGGGGCGCCTCCTGTCTATTCGACGCTGCATGCCACTGATAGCGCCACTGCCGCTGTGCATTTGCGATGGGAGACTCACCAGTACGTAGTGCGGCCTCACTGGCCATGGGCATCGGGCCGTTGCCTGCATGGGGCTCGGCGCCCTGCGCACATACGGCGCGCGGGGAGGGGTGGCCAGGAAATTGGAGCAAAGAGCGCGTTACAGCAAGCAACCGGCCATGGGAGCAAGATCTGGTGTAGTCCCCGCAGAGACGGTGAATTTCCAGAGCGGGCCTACTGAACAGGTCTTGCCTCGCAACATGGTCCCCCTGCCCGTTTCGTTACCCCCGCCGACGCTTACCTCGACAACGCAAAGTTCATCTATGTCCTGTAGCTCGTCGAGACTTGTCACCTTTTGGCCACTCTGCGACCGACGCGGGAACCCAGGACAGCGTGGGGTGATCCATGCAGACTGGTTGTCCGTTCTGCAACAGGCCGCAGCAACGCTTACCGATGCTAGGAACACCTCGCTTACGCCTGTAATTCTCAATTTGCTCTTAACCTGCTGAATGAAGTCCTGCCAAGTATACCCGTCCGGAACCGGTACCGCGACTTTCCTGCAACCACCACCACCGGCCCCCTTGCAAAAGGAAAACTGGACCTCTTGGCAACACCACTCTTACCGCTTCGGTCGAACATCTTTCACAAAAACGAAAACTAAGCGGCTCGCTTCCTGCGTGTACCAAGAACCCCTCACGATCGTGCACACGTAGGCTCGCAATCATACAGGGATCTATGAGATAATTTGCTGGTCTAACCATATCTGTTTTGCTTATCGTCCCGGTCCGCGCTCTTGCGCTTGCCATACGAAGCGTGAGAATGCTATGTTTATAATATGTGACAGACGAGTCACAGGTAACCAGAAGGTATACGTAGCAAATAAACGAAACGCATGTGAATTTCGATTCTAGGTGTGTATCGGTAGCACGGACCCAGCACGTCGCGCAGCATGCGGACTGTTATGCTGTCGTGCACCCTGAAGCAGCTGGCGGAATTATTGCGCAAAACCCGAAATTTCTCATCAGAAATACGTTCTATATCTTTTCTGTACACTCCTTATGATTCCAGCGCTGCGTGCTGAGTCCAATGGCAAGAGAGGTTCCCGATAACCATACGGGGTCCCCCTCGAGCCCGTTGGTGCCAGCTAATTTTTTCCACTTTAAGTGTAATTTACTGGGTTACCAACAAAAAATCCACCTTGGGGCAAAGCAAGAGGCATGAGGGAGGGCAAGACTGCTTATCGATCTCACAGGGGATGATGACGTGCCGCCACCTCCCACAAAGCGACAGAGGAAAGGCCCAGATGTGAAGACGGAGGACGTCACCGGCGTTTCCGACGCTGCTTAAACAGACCCTTTCCTACAGACGGCTCACGCCCTAGGCCGAAGCCTGGACAACCAGGCGCCCCAGGCATCAACCTCTCCAGGCCCCGAGCTGCCGGCTCTGGCAGCCGAAGTTACACCCGCACCCGCGACCCCAGCCCCAGACCCACCGGCTCAAACCGTCCACCGGCCTGTGCCGATACCAGCAGTACGTACCCGCCCAGGAGCTTCCCATGCTGCTGCAGCAGCCAAATCCAGCCCCCACAGCAGCCATAGCCATACCAGGAACTCAGGAGCGCCACTGGTGCCCAGTTGGTCCGTCACACTGAGGGCCATCGGCATGGGGGCAGCCGCTGCAGCTTCCAGCGCCGACGACGGCGGCGGCGAGCACCAGACCCGCTGGACACCAGCGATCGGCTTCTGGTGAACTTGCAGCGGGAGGGCTAGCAGAGGCGACCAGCACGCCGGCAGCTGGCTGGAAACCAGCGCAGGAGGCGCGGGAGGGAGCCGCCCCTCAGGCGCCGGCGTTGGGGCCGGTGGTGCCCGGGCCGCTGGTGGAGCCAGCCATCGTGCCCCGGCTGGCGGCCACGGCGCCGCTGCCGCTGCAAAGCACCACGAAACGTGGCGGCAGCTCCACGCTCAGGACAGCGAGTTGGCAGCTGCGGCATGCGAGGCCGGCGAACTGGATGGTTTTTTTGACGCGGTCACGTCGCTCATTAAAATATATTATATAATATCGAGCCTCCAGCCTGCACTTCTAGAGCTCGTGCACCACCACAATAACACGCTGGTCCACATCAGTGATGGCGTGCAGGCCGCAGGTGACGCAGCCCAACACAAGACCCTCGCTGACATTGCGCTGCAGGCCACAATGCGGCTGGAATGGCGCATAGTCAGCGCATGCCACGGAGGAGACCTGCTGTCTCCGCTGTGCACGAGCTTGCCGGTGATTGACTCTGGTGGCGGCAGTGGCGGCAGCGGTATCAACTGGAAGCGTCTGGCTGGGGTGGCGGGGTCGCGATTCCCTCACTGCTATCTCTCTTTTCCTTTCCGGGAGGTAGAGCCACCAGGGGACAGCATGTTGGGGGCAGGTGGGGGGCCTCGGGTGCCGGGCCAAGCAAGGTGGCTGCGAGGCGGCAGGGGCGCACCACGCCCACTGGAGGGCAGCTACTGAGGAGGCGGAGGGGGAGCGGGTGTTAAGGTAGTGGTGGTGCAGCGTCGGAAAGGACAGTCAATATGGACTTGTACATCTTATTGACACGGTTTCTTCGTGCACGCAGCGCACAGGATTTTATCAGTCCTGGAAAAGGAGCTGGCGGCGGGCTGTGCATGCTAACGGTGTCCAGGCCTGACAGAATAGTTCTTATCGGCTTGAAATATTTGATGTAAAACTGTCTAATGCTTGCCAAAACCTCTCCTTTGCAGACGCCCTTCTTTCCACGTAGGATGGGACATGACTGGTGACACGAATGAAGATTTCAAAAAGGGCCCTTTGGTCTGGGCTCCTTGCAGGCTCAAACGACTTGGTTGCCATGGGTGCCTGCATCTCCACCATCTTCCACTCGAGTCGCCTGTCTGCATTATTTTGGTTCTTCCACCTTTTAGAGGGTTGCGCAATCTCGCAATAAGCACTGCTGTGCAACCAGCCGTGGGTGACGGTGCACCAGTCAGCACTGACCAGTCGTAATGCCGAGTCAAGTCCTCTTGGACTGTCAACGATTGCCGCACTGTCCGTGCGTGCGGCGCATGGCATGGGGGAGTCCTTACAGGTGGATGTGGATGGTGATCTTACATTCGGATGGTTCCACGGCAGGATGGCAGGATGTGCACCGCTGGCTGCAGCAGTTGCAGAGTGTTGTGCATGGAACACACGGGCACATGGGCGCGGGGAGGAATGAGGACAGGCAGTGCACGTTGTTGGACTGGCGCCTGACTTGTTGAGAAGCTTTGCTATTGACCTTGGCGCTGCTGACCGTGTTCCCCCTGTTGTCGAACCTTTTGGACGGCTAGCGCGGGCAGATGCGTAAGGAGATACGGAAGAACCCGCATCGATCATGATTATTACCTCAGGACCTCGTGCGACAGCTCCTGAAAGGAGCTTTCAGGACTGGATGCGTCACGCAGGAGTTATAATGGGACGCTCGTACGGTTTTGGGTCATTTTGTGGTGTATGGTGTTGTGCGGTATAAATCTTCTCTCTGGCTGAGGCTTGGGGCTTAGGTTTTCCCAGGGTAGCGGGATCTCTGCTCGACAGAGGCAATGAATGGAACTCGCCGTTCATGGGGAAGGCAAGCTGGGAGGAGTCCGGAGGAAAGAACGGGACAGCCCTGCTCTGGCCTGGTTCAATCGCCAAGGGCGAAAGGGGCAGTCGGGGACGCTACTCCATGGATGGCGAATGTTTAGATGGTGCTAGAGCACCAGGGCGTATGCTTTGCACGGTTTTCGGTGGTGTCGTACGCGGCTAGATCAGGTAACTGTGCTATGCGGCATCGTCATACTGGCTAGGTTACTGCATGAAGTTCCGAAGATGCTGCTCAACCTTGATTACAACAATACGTCGTTGCTGTTTGTGGTGGCTTCGCTCCATGTAGCATTATAATCGCTCGTCGCACGGACAGTGCCTCTCTCGCGGACTGCTCCTAGGTCAGAAGAAATGTCAAGACGTGCAAATCCCAGCAAGGGGCCAGGTAGGCGGTAGTTGGCGGTCAACGGCTTTTGCTGCGGCATGTTAACGACAGCCAACAACTACAGGGATGAAGCTGGAGAAGGAACAACAAGATGCTCTTCGAAAAGAGCAATATGGATTCGCTAGCTTGGCCAAGGAGCAGCAGTTTCGCTCCACAACACAAGGTGCATTGCTCCATCCATTCCCAGCACCAATCCCCACAGGGAAAGCGTTTGGTCAATCAGAACTCTTAATTATAACTTAATACGTTACGAAGCACACAGCTGAGTTCCGTTCCGTTTGTCTTACATGTACGAACCATTCATACGGCGGTTGCAAAGGTTCCACAGAGGCCATGGACTCGCAAGTCACATATGAGTAGCACAGCCCCCTTCCTGCCCTCTTGGGCGCTCCAGCCCACCTTCCTGCCCTCTAATCCGCTTCAGCCTTGCCCTCGGTATCTCCCTTTCCGGCCGGAGGTTCCCCAACTCACAAACACCTTCCCACTTTGCCGCTCTCTTTTCGCATTATCCCAACCTCCCCGCCGCCGCAACGCCATATAACATGTCGCCCTCTAATCCCCCATCCGGATCCCTCCGGCCAGGCGAGATGAAGGCCCTGAATGACAAGGTCCGCGAGCTAACGGACATGCTTGAGGACCGCAAGAATGCCAATCGCATGCTGGCCACGGAAAACCAGCGCCTCAAGAAGATGTGCGCAGACCTTCAGGTGCAGCTTCTGGACAAGCCAACTGCGCGGGGAGAGAGTGCGGCGCTGAAGGCCATGCGGGACATGGTAAGGGCCGGGCGGCGATGGGTGGGCAGGAATGGGACCCGAAGGGGATGCGGAAGAAACAACACTGCGGCGTGCGTGGGCCCCAGCACGAACCGGCTGGATGGCGCCGGGTGGGAGCTCCAAAGCAAGGATGGAAAAGCGGTGGGGTTGTGCGTTTGTGTTCTCAGTTGAGGCACCTCGCCGGCGTGTATTTATTTTCCACTTCATCATAACTAAATCCTTTCACATTGCATCACCTTGCATGCATATTACTCGCCATTGGATTTTTCACAAATGCATTTTGACGCGCAGCGATGCTATCCTCCGCGATGTTCTACACTCTCCACAGGCACGGCAGTTCCAGAACCGGGAGCAGATGACGTCAGCCGCCGCTGAGAATCTGGTTTCGGAGCTGATGGGCCAGAATCAAGCAGCCATGGACGAGATGCAGCGGCTGGCAGATGACCGAGACGGACTCATGGTTGGTGCCAGAGTGGCTGGATGACTGGGTGGATTTGTCCTGTTGAGTTTTCAGTTCTATTATGGGGTCGAAACTAGGACCAAATTGCCGGGGTTATTTGGTCCAGGAGCCAAGCCCACGCGGTGACGCGCGTCCAGCTCTAGGCACTCCACTTTGCGTTGGTGAGGTGCTGGTGAGCGGCGGAGTGGGCGTTGATAGCGCCGTAGGTGGATATGTGCGTGGTACGGACAGCAAATAGTATGGACTGGGGGCACATATATATCCACATGCCGGGGAGGGCAGGGGGACTTACCGGGGGTGAGAGCGGCCGCAGGTAAAGCTGCAACCCTCAGTCCTCGCATTCACATGCCGTCCATGGACTTGCCACGCACCTTCCTTGCCCCGTTCTCCCGCCCATGCACCCGTTCCCCCTAAGGCTGAGCTGCGCAGCACCCGCGAGGCCTTATCTTCCGCCACATCTGAGGTAGCTGCCTATCGTGAGGAGCTTGCTGCCAGAGCGGAGGAGAAGGAAGCGCTGCTGGCGGAGAAGCAGCAGCAGGCACTAGAGGCGCAGCAACTGGATGAGCAGCGGCAGCTGGTGAGATCCGGGAGAGGGAAAGGGGAAACAAAGGAGGGATGAGTGAAGGGAAAGGGGGGAAGGGAAGGAACAGGGAGGGGAACTTTTTGTAGGCTTGGACGGGCCGGGGACCTGGGCGCCCGCAGGTCGGTAGGGTTGGGTAGGGACGGGAGACCGTTTGGGATGATTGTTGGCAGCAAAACCCAAATTAGTGCCGCGTGGCATGTGCCGACAGCGGCATCCGCCTGCCTGTTCCTAAGCCCATTACCACACTCACCGCAAGCCATACTTTCCTGTTGCCACCCTGGCTGCTGCCTTTGCAGGCCATATCTCAGCTGGAATCCGAGGTGGGGGCGCTGAAGCAGCAGCTGGTGGAGCGCGATGCGGCTGCTGAGGCGGCCCGACTGACTGCTGAGGCGGCTCTGCGAAGTCAGAAGGCGGAGCTTGAGGCAGCGGCCCTGCTGCAGCGAAAGGCGGCGGTAGCGGAGCTGGAGACACAGGTTGGATGGCGAGAATGAATGACCGGGCCGGGGGCCCCGGGTGACCGGGCCGTTCTGCCTTGCCTCTCTAACTCCTGGCACCTCACCCTCCTGGGGCCCCTTGCGTTCTCTCCCTACGCCTTCGGAGCGCTTAAGAGGGGTGGGCACAGGGATGCCAAGGGGGCTCCCTCGCGGCTGCCGGCACAGAGGCGCGGCTGCCTGTGAGTATGTTCCGCAGCTGCAAAATCTCAAAGGAGATTTCTAACCCTGAATAATCTGCTGGCATTCCATCTCCTTTTCCCTCCGGTCCAACACCCTTGCGAAATCCTTTCTGCTTCCTCCCGCCGGTGCCCCACACCTCCTCTTCCATCCCTCCCGTTCACTTATTAATCGTCTCTACCTCATCTGAGTTTGTTTCTCCCCAGCCCGGCCCGTCTCACCCGCGTAACCGTGCACCAATCCTCCCCCGCGCGCCGCAATCCAGGTAGCCTCCCTGAAGCAGCTGCTACATCAGGCCCACGAGTCCCTGCGCTCCCTCAACCAGACCGAGGCACTAGAACCAGGATGGACCCTCATGGAGCAGGGCATGATTAGTGTGGCGCACGGAGCCGCGGAGACCACAAAGGAGCAGCAGATGCAGAATCAACCACACCAACAGCATACGGCAGAGCCAGCGCCTCCAGCGGCGCCGCCGGCTGCACAAGTGCCAGTGACATCCCAGACGTCCTGGCGGCGCTCTCGCTCCCGTCGGTCGTCACGCGCGGGGGAGTCTGTGGCTGGCTCGGCAGCGGCCGACGGACCTGTGCGTCGATCCGCTGCTAGCTCGGTTGCAGGTTCGGAGCAGCAGCTGCAGGCGCCCGGCGAGATAGTGCCGAAGGCCCTGGCAGAGGATCTGCCTGGACGGGGGGGGAATCGCGCTGGCGGCAGCGGCAGGCCGTCGGAGGCTGGCGAGGTGGGCAACGGTGCAGACGCAGCGGCTGAGGCAGAAGATTGTGCTGACGGCCATGTGGCTGCGGCGTTGGTGGACGGCGGAGAGGTGGCGGCGGAACGGTCTAAGGATGGAGGAGGAGTGGGAGGAGGAGAAAGGGATGCACTAGAGGGCCCAGATGACCGGGAAGGTTCGGGACGCGTCAGCAAAGAGGTCACTGCGGAGACTCAGATCGCAGTGAGTGGCAACAACGGCAACACAGCAGTAGCAGTGGAAGTCGCAAGCTCTGCGGTGGGGCCTGGGACAAGAGAGGCGGCGGCGCCGCTGGGCAGCGGCAACGAGCTTGACGGGGTTACTGCTACTGCTACTGCTGCTGCTGCCGATGACGCTGGCGACGCCGCAGCCGCCGCCAATACCGTACGGCTATCGCAGTTGGTTCCTTCGGCGCCGTCGGGTCCTGCGGGCAATATCCTTGAGCTGTTGCTGCACGGTACGGCATGATACGACGTCGTGTGGCCCTTGGCAAGGTGAAAGGACAACGAAGACGCATGTAACACCACAAGTTCCACAGCCCCAGATATGTGCTTGCATGAGAGTTGTCGCTTCTGGTTATGGCCCTAATGCGTCCCGGCCATCCGCTGTTGTCACGATGCTTATTACCTTCTTAGCCGTCGCTTGCCACACGCCTGACTGCTTACCCAACCCCCTATCCTGCACAGATCCACACCCAACCCAAACTCAAATACAAACCAAACCCACTCACCAGAATCCCCAACCCCTCAAACCCCCCAAACCTCCCCCATACCCCTAGACGCCACTCTCCATCCGGGATCCCTCGGGCTGCCCTCCAGCGACCTGTGGGCCCTCCTGCGCCTCTCCTGCCACGGGCTGCCCGGACTTACCCACCTGGCCCTGTCTGCACCGGGATCTGGGTCCGGATCTGGGTCGGGATCAGAGCCGCTGCCGCTGCGGTGCGCCATTCGGCTGCACTTCGCTGACGGTCAGAGCTTGCTGACGGCGGTGGCGGCAGGCACGGCACGGGTGCTGTTGCAGAACCTGCGACCCGCGGTGGTGGGCGCGTTTGGGTGCCCGCGGGTGGTGGTGAAGAAGGCCGCCCCGGCGGCGGCGATGGTGGGAACTGCCGCCGCCGCTGTAGGCGATGGAGGGTTTGCAGGCCTAGGAGGACGGCCTGGTGAGGCTGTGGCAGACGGTACGCTGGAGCGTGTGCTGGTGGTGGCTTCACGTGACGAGTATGACTGCCCCTCCCTGGAGATGTACTGCATGGATGAGGAGGGTAAGTGCGACTGGGCTGCCGACCCTGCCCTACCTGGGGGATGGGGGTGTTTGCATGTGAGTGAAAGGAAAAAGGCAACTGGACTTCCACGTAACTGATGAAAGGTTGGTGAAGTTGGGACCGCTGGGGGAATGATACGGAAATGGAACGAGATAACAACCAACTCCTTCCTTTCCTTTTCAATTCGCATCTCAACCCATTTATCACAAGTCCAAAACTCCCCTCCACACCAACCCACACCCCCACACAACCCCGGGGTTCATGTGACATGTCCTTCCTTTTAACTCACCTTGCAACCTCACAAATAACCTTCTGTGTCCCCATGCCCTCCATCCCGCACCGCACAGGCCGCCCCACGCGGCCCTTCCAGCTGCTGAGCTCCCCTTGGCGCCACCAGCTGCCCGACACCCTCCCGCAGCCACAACACGACGAGTTCTGCATCAACATGCAGACCCTGCATCGCCTGCAGGTGCGTGATTGCGTGTAGCGTGGCACAGTAAGTAACTGCCACCGCTTTGCTTTGCGGCGGGCCCGTGTTTGTGTCGTGTATGTGCAGTACGTATGCCGTTTGCGTCCCGCAATGACGGACGGGACTGTGACTGGGGACGGGCTGCAGGACGGCTTCTGGAGATTTAGGGAAAGACGAAGGAAAGACGCCTGTTGGAAGGGTGGTCGGCAAGCGTTACTGGCTGCTAAGGTGTGGATTACCGAGCGCTCTCCCTCCATGCTTCGCCATTGGCGCTATGCGTTGCGCTTGCTGGGAGGCGTGCCTATTTGTTCGAGTGCAAGATGTCACAGAGGAAGCTGTGGTACTGCTTACTGGGGGACGCGGGGCCATCTGTGGATAATAATGCCGTTTCTTGCTTGATATTCCGCCTTGCGCCGACTGCGGCTCTCTGGCCGCCGCGCCTGCTGCTGCTGTCGCTGCTGTTTATCCTGGAGCGGCACCTGTCCCAGCCCCCTGCCTTACAGACCTTCCATTCAGCCGTGTGAAGAGCCCTGCTGCTGCTGCTGCTGCTGCCACAGCCCGCCACTTTGTCACGGAAAAAAGCGGAGCCCCCAGAGCTAACCTGTTTGCCCATTTGGTATATCCCGGCTTGCGTTCCCTTTCGAGCCGCCGCATTGGTTCCCTGCACCCCCTGATCCCCTTCTTTGGCCCTGGCTGAACGTGGCTGAACAACTTGGACGCAGGCGGATGCGGCCCGTGCCAGCGGTCTGTTCGGCTTGGGCGTCGTGCGGGTGTTCATCGGGCGGGGGGATGGCCACACGTACCAGGTGAGGGTACACGACGCAGTTAACGCAGGGAATGCGGAGGGTATCAAGTGCCGACGCCCGCAGCAACCAAACGAGTGCAGTGCGCTCCGGAACCTTTTCCCAAGTGAATAGTCACTAGGAGGACGTCCGGGGAACCCAGGGATTCGGGGCCAGGATGAGCGCGCGGGTGCGAACGCATGCACGTTTCTGCATCATGCTGGAAGCGCTCCTGCTAGTGTCGCTGCATTCTCGCGGACTAGGACCTGAGCCTTTCGCTGGGATGTCGTGCTGGTCCCGGAGCGCCGCCAGCCATACCGCTCAACCGTGTTTCCCACATGCGCTCCTTCTTGCGCGGTGAGCTAGTGGCTTTCCCCCGCTTCAGGTGTGGCGGCTGGCAGACGTAGAAGTGCGGCGCAAGGCTACCTTCAAGGCGCTAAACAAGGTGAGGAGGTGTGAGGAGTGTGTGTATGTGTGCAGCGGAGTGGGTAGATTCAGGAGAGGAGTGACGATCCCAAACGGTACCCGCGCGTTAAGGGCGGGAATGGGGTTTAGGTGGTAGTGGGGAATCGGCTGTTTGCCGGAAACACTAGTACACGTGGACCACCTGTGCGGTCCAGGGGAACGCATGAGGCACGCGCGTGTGCTGCCTGCTGGCTGCTCGTTCTGCCCTGCCCCTCTATCTCCTGGCTCCTCAACCTCCTGGGGCCCCCTGGGTGCTCTCTCTACACCTTCGGGTGCATTTTCCATCCCTGGACTGCAGGTTCTTGTGGAGCCAGGGGATGACCCATGGGTCGCTGCAGCCCCCCTCGCAGTCGCGTCCTTGCCCCTTACGGCATCCCTCTCCGCCCCCACTCTCACCCGCCTGGAGCTCGCAAACGTGCGGCGGCTGCTGGGCGGTCAGCCCGTTGTACGACTGTATGAACCATCGGACAATATCGCCACTCATACACTAGCGTGTCGCACGGTTGCCGGTGAGAAGTTGGCGGCCACGGTGCGCATTACGGCACGGTTGGCACGTGACCCTGAGGTTTCGGAGCAGCTCCTGGCAGCATTGCAGCCAGCGCTGCAGGTAAGCGTGGATGGGTGTTTGGATAGTTGCAGGCAGTAAGCCTCTCCGGGTTACTTGCACGTAATCCTTCATTTTCACTTTGTGATGTGCATTTCACCCATTTTCCATCAAAGGCGGGTGCGGGCGCACCCACGCTGCCGCCACTGCATTGGCTGTCGCTGCTGGGTGCTGAGGAGCTGGTTCTGGAGCGGCTGCTTCGGGAGGTGCGGGAGGGGGTGGGGGCGGCGATGGGGCGGCTCATGGCGCTGCCGGCGCATGATGATGCGGGGACGGTGGAGGTGGAGACGCTGGGCCGGCATGCTGTAGGTGAGACAGGGCTGTGTGCTGGATGAGCGTTGAGCTTGGAGGGATGCGTGTTTGCGTGTCTCTGGGGCTGAGGTTGTGGCTGTCTGACTGGTGGCGTTGGCGATGCAGGTGCGAGGTGCCTGTTGCCGGTTTCGCTGGCGCCGGTGCTGGTGCAGACGCGGTTGTCGTAGGGGTTTTGTGCCTCTCGGAGTTGGGATCCGTAGCAGCAGCCGATGTTCTCCGATGTGGGAGAGGAGTCAACCCTTTGGCAACCGATGGAACGGAGGGCAGGTGGCGTTAAGGCTAGCATGCGGCCGCCTGAGCACGTATTGCTGTATGCACCGCGCCTGTAGGCCACACCGCTTCAACTCCCCGCAAATCAGTAGTGGCCACCTGCCACCCTGCACTCGAGCTCTCCGTCTTCACCGCCTCGCGCATCATTCCATCTTCTCTCCCTCCCTCCCTCCCTCACTTCCTCCCCGAAACTCCGCCTGTTCTTCACGCACCGGTGTGTGGATTCTGTTCGCATTCTCGCCTGCTGTTTCTCCAGACCGAAACCCTAAAGGATGATCTTCCTGCTTGCTGCGCGTTTCCCTTTTGTTTTTCCTTGTGCTTTCCCCCTCGCATGCGTACCGCCACTCCCTACTTACTATTCCGACAACGACTCTTTATCGCCAATCCCACCATCACTTGCACCTGACAATCACCTGATACGGTACCCTCTCCCACCCGCTCCCCGCTAGAGGCGGTGCTGCTGAAGGAGCGGCAGTTGACCGAGGGGCTGGCCAGCTGCGAGATGGTGGTGGCTGCGGCCAGGGCAGCCAACCCGCAGCAGGAGGCCCACCTGGCGCGAGCTCGCATGCAGCACATACGCAGACACGTGGCCAGGTGGGGGTTCGGCGATGCTGTTCTCGGGGTGAAGGGGAAGGGGTGTCCATAGAAGTGTACCGTGGTCCGCGGGACCGGGTGGTAAAGGTGGCAGGGAGCTTTGGTAGGTGCGACGGATGCCTTCTGCTTGGGACTGTCCGCGGCCTTTGAGACCGTCGCGGCTCGCCGTGCGGCCAGTTGGGCCGGCGACATGGGCCCCTGGTTCCTTCGCTCCAGTTAGGACAAGTCTAACATCGAGACGATTCCACAAGCTTCCAGCTCCCCCGCGATACAAGCCCGCACCATACGTCGACACCACCACTGCGATCACCAGCACCCCTACTTTGAGCTGCGTAGATGATGATGTGCTACACTCCTTGATATCCGTTAAATATCCGTGTCAATGTCTACGTCCGTGCCTGTGTCCACTATCGCTGAGCCGTGTCCGTGTCGTGTCCGCTCAGGACCCTGGCAGAGACCAGCGCCTTCTTCCGCCAGCGTCTGGAGCTGTACCGCCTGGGGGCCGTCACCTGGCACTTCATCACGGAGGCCGGAGGCGGCGACGACCCAGTGGCGTGCCTGCCCGTCACCACCACACGCCCCCAGGCCAAGTGTTTGGCGGATGTGCTGCAGGCGCTGGCGGCGGCAGTGCAGGCGCTGGCGCCGCCAGGCGCCACAGCTGGGGAGCTGCTGCCGGCGGGAGCGCCGCTGGCGCTGCTGCTGCCCCCGCCGCCTCCAGCGGCAATGCCCTCCGCATCGCCGCCGGCGCCGCCGGCGGTTGGGCCGGCCCTGTCTGCAGCTGCCAGGGACCTGGAGGCGGCGTTGCGTGCCGCTGTGGATGCTGCTGCCACCGCCGCCGGTGAAGCAGGCGAGGAGCTGCGCAAGCAGGTGGCGGCTCCAGGGGCGGACGACGTGGCGCTCGTGGAGGTGGCGCGGGCGCGTCTTGCGGCGTTGGCGGCACCAGTAACAGCGGCACTGGTAGGCGGCCTGTCGGGGCTGTGCCAGGCCACAGTCGCCGCCAGCCTGGCGGAGCCGGAAACGGTGGCGGCGCTGCGGGATCAGCTGTTGGCCGCCGCCGCCGCAGCGGCGGCGGGACCGCCGTCTCCCCTGGCGCTATGGCTGGGGGTGTCGGGACCACATTTGGTGGCACAGCTGGTGATGCAGCTCACATTGCAGGCGGACGCCAACGCCTTTGCCAACACCGGTGCTGGTTCCAGCTCCGCGGCAGCGGCGGGTGCTGCATCGCCTGCTGCTGGCGGGGCAGGTCAGTAGTTCCATACGCGGTCCACTTCAGGGACAGTACACTTTCTCTCCCAAGCCAACTACCAAGTTGGGCTATTACTTATTACGCAGCATGCTCAATCCGGTATTTCTGTAGCCTGCGCTAATCCACCAAACGGAGGTTGGCTGCCGCGCACACAGACAGGGTGTTCCGTTTCTTGCAGCATATGCATTAGCAACACCTTCATGCAACGCGTGGCGAAACCCTGATGTTGCACACAGTTGTGTTACGCTTGAAATCGCCCTCCCTTCCGCATCCTAGATGCTCCGCCAGTACAGCACACGTTGTCCAAATTCGGAGCTCCTCATACCTCACTCGCATAACCTCGCCCTTTGCGTGTCCCGCAGGCCCGGGGTCGCCGCTGCCCTCGCACCGCACCGGCCCGCAGCTGCGCGCCGCACTGCAGTCGCTGCAGTGGCTGCTTGGCGGCCTGACCCGCAGCGCCCCAGCACCGGTGGCCGCCAGCCCACATTCGGTGGCCGGCTGGGCTAAGGCCAGTGTTCGGATGCGGCTGCAGCTTGGGGTGCTGTGTACGGCTTGGTCGGCAGCAGCGGTGGCGGCAGCAGGGCACGCGCTACTGCTGTGCGGGCAGCGGCACGCAGCGGTGACGCTGGCGCTGGAGGTCATGGGCCGGTGCGTCCGCGGGTGTGGAAAGGGGTTTTGTCAAAGGTTGGAGTTGTTGGGATGTGGGACGTATTGTGGGATGCGGTTGAAGCCAATCTCGTGCTAGCAGGAGGACCTGTAACCAACCTAGGAATTGTCACTGTATTGCGCCTGTAGCGGTACGGGTAATGGGATCAATCAAGCTATAACGGTGACCTAATGAGATTGTTTACCTGTCTGTCCTGCTGCGCCATGTGGCCCCTGTCGATGCAGGGAGGTCGACCGGGTGCTCGATGCCACCAAGGCCACCCTGGAGTCGTTGCGTGCCAACCGCTCGTATGACGATGCCGTACTTGCGGACTGCATGCCGCCCATTGCCACGGAGCTCACCTCCCACGCCGCCGCCGCCGTCAAGTCGTGCTTCTGGCTGGCGGCGCAAATGGTGCTGACACCGTTAGTCGTACAGGTGCATATGCCGCCGCCGCCGCCACCGCCAGGTCATCAACAAAGCCTCACCGAACCACAGCAGGCGCCACGGCTACCTGGGGTCCCTACCGGTCCTGCAACGGACGGTCTCAGTAGCAGCTACAGCAGCGGTGCCGGGAGTAGCAGCGGCTCATGCTACAGCTCCTCTCTGCATATCGCCAGCTGCGTCAGCTTTACGGTGGTGACGGTGGGCAATATCCGCGTCAGCGGGCAGGCGCCGTCAGCGGCCACATCAGCTGCGGCAGCGGCGCCAGGTGCGCTCCTGCGGCCTGGGGACCCCTCCCTGGCGCCTCTCACCCAGCCGCTACTCACAACCTGGCAGCCGCGGCGGGCGGTGCTGTACCTTGACCTTGTTCGTCTGAATGCTGCCGCTGCCGCCGCTGCGTCAGCGGCGGCGACAGCCGGAAGCTTGGACTCAGCTGCTCATGCAGCGCCTCCACTGGCGCCTGATACGGCTGCGCTGCCACACCTGCCGGCGGCGATCGAGCTGCTGGGCTGGACCTTGCGCTATGCGGAGGAGTTTTACATTGTCCATTTTGCCACCCGCGCTGCTGCTGCCGCCGTAGTAGCTGCCGGAGACACCGCAGCGAAGGTTGCGTTATCCCCCACACCGTCTGAAGTGCTGCCGGCGGCGCCATCTGCCTCGCCGTTGGTGGCGACTACACCGCGAGAATCCGCTTCGGGCAATAATGTTCCAAGCCGGCGGCGATCAGCATCTGTGCCTGTGGCCGCGGCCGACGACACGGTGTCCCAGCCGGCCCTGCTGCCTCCACCATCGCCTGCACCTGCGGCGGCGTTAGCGTTGGACCCCTTGGCGGCGCTGAGCGAGGCCAAGCTGGCAGCGCGCATGGCGGAGGAGGCTGACGTGGCAATCGTCGCGGGCGGGCGCCTGGCAGAGGCGGGGTCCCTAGTTAAATGGCTGTCACAGAGTGGCATGCTGGTGTTAGCAGCGGCAGACCTGCAGCAGCCGGCGGCAGGTATTATCGCCGCTGCTGCTGGCAGCGGCGATGGTGGTGATGATGCTGGTGTCCGGGGGCTGGCACGCACACTTGTCGGCCTGTTGGCAACGCACCACGTGCAGGCCGCTACTGTACGGACGCTGACTCAGCCCAGCGGCCAAAGCGGCGGTGCCGGTGGTGGGGCGTCACAACCGGCATCTGTAGCGCACAGCACTGTGGCGACGCCGCGACCAGGCGCGCGGTCGGCTGCTGCCACACCTCAGGCGTCCCTATCAAATCTAAAGCCCGACCCTGCGACTCTGCTACCACCTGCAGCACCTCCCTCCACAGCACCTCCCGCAACTCCATCAGATCCCGCAGCCACTGCTCGGGTGTCATTGGCGGGGGCGAGTGCAGGCGTGCAGCAGCCGCTGGCTGTGCTGACATACCTGCGCGATATGGCACTCGCCAAGCCAGCACTGGCAGCATGTGGTGACCTGGCTCACCGGGTAGACCTCACACTGCAGGCGCTGCAGGCCGCCTTTGCAGCGGCACCCCCGCTGGCGCCACATGCTGCCATGCTGGCCCGCCATGTGTCCCGCCAGCTGGCGCAGCAGCGGCTGTTGCTGGAGGGGTTGCTGCTGGCGCCGGAGCTGCACCGCACCCGGCACCCGGGCACGGTGCCGCAGCCGGGCAGTGTGGCCGCCGCCGCGTCCGCTACAGCAGCAGCTGCGGCGGCAGGGCCCGGCGGCTTGCTGTGGCAGCCATGGGGTCGTGTCGGCAGTGTGGCAGCGGTGCCGCCGCCGCTAGCTGTTCCAGTATCACAACCGGTGATGTCAGCAGCTCCGTCACCAGCTCTTAGCGTCCATAGCAGCCTGGGCCGGAAGCGTCCTTCACTTCCTGCCATGACCCCTAAGAGCGGTGGCTCCAGGCACTCGTTGCTTACTGGTGGAACTGCCGTGATTCCTGTGACTCCACCGCGGCTGCCGGGGGCTGCGCTGCCGCCACCACCACCGCCACTGGCAAGTGCAGCGGGCCGCCCCGCAGGGGACGCATACAGTACAGAAAGCGAGGACGAGGAGGTCGGTGTCAGCAAGCTGGTACCAGTTCCGCTGAGGGCAGGGGGAATGGGTGTGGTTGCAGGACCACGGCCAGGAGCTGGGATGGCGGGGCCCAATGGTGGCAGTGGTGCCGCTGGCGTCCGCGGCGGCGCGGCGGCGGTGCTGCCGGACGTTCCTGATGCTGACTCCGATGCAGCCTCCATTGCGAGCGCATCCACCCTGGGGACGTTGCCTGGACGAGGGCCCACCCCTCTCTTCTGAGCATCACGATAGCGGCAAAACTGCAGTGCAAGAATGCAGGAGCAACACGACGATTGTGTCGCAGAACATGGCTCTTAGGGTGCATGCCTGCATCGGATGGATGCTGCAGATGAACATGGACGGAACGTCGCTCTGTGTTGTGCCAGTGACTCGTATCGTTCGGCCAGCTTGCATGGCACTTTGGCAGCCAGGCAGCTGCAATGTGGTTCTGATTGGGCAAGCAGGAGCTAATTCCTGGATTGTGGACGATTCGGAACCCACCAAACGCCTAATCCAAGAGCTGGAGACCGACGGGAAGCCGGACCTGGACAAGGCCCTAGTAAGGAACGGATAGGAGCCACTGCCCACGTGTATGCAAGTGTCCCGGGACAAGGGGCTGGATAGATGTAGGCTTCACATGTTTGCATAGCACGACAGCAGACTAATAGGCGTGTCTCTTCAGTTGTGTTCTCTTCAATCATACATGCCACCCTGTGTTGTTTCGTTTGTATTTCGCCATGGAAGGGGGAGCGTTATACAAGGCTACCGAGCACTTTGAGGTCCCCTGTCCCAGGCAGAGCTTGGCAACATTGCATGGACAGATTAGCTTTCCCCGATCGGCGAGCTGGCGTCCGTGTTGTTGTAGGTGGGGAGCCGTTTCCAAAGTCTGTGTGATGACTTGGGCGTCCAAGGTCCTCACCAGCCATCCAGCGCCAACTCGTCAACAGCTAGCTAGTATGACCTGCAGTTCTGGTGGTCTGTTCTGCGCTCTGGATTATCAGTCTGGGATGGTGTCAAGTGCTGTGTCGCCTCAGATGGCGACTTGGTGGGGTGTGTGTATGTGTGTGTGTGTTTCAAGGCCCAGCAGGTGCGATGGTCTCCACCGATTCCACTAGCAACGGTTTCAGTGCAGCAGGGGTTATGGTGGATGTGCTGACTGCATGGTTGTCAGATGAGCGCTCACTGCACATTGCGTGCCTGGAACTCAAGGCCGTGTTGTGAGCTCTTCAGTCATGCGGGTTCAGCAGCTAATAAAAAAGGCTACTGGTATGTTGTGATGACAATGCACAAGCAGTGGCGGCAATCAACAGGGTACCTATCAGGATCCCGGATTGCGGGCCAATTACGCGGCAGACAGAAGAGCTGTTCCATACGCTGTGGCTTCGAAGTACAGGCACAGCACATCAGCGGTAGTGGAAACATCAAGGCAGACCATCGCAGCAGACAGCTACTTCGTGCACGCTACCAAAACCTACTGCTTCTGTGCAGCAGTTTTTGTCGCCCTTGCATTGGGACCACTTGTGAGCCTACTGTGGACTGTGGGGTTGCGATGCAGCAGGTTTCGATATGCAGCAGGGTTGCTCAAGAGGTTTTCCACTCTGTCACCACAGTGCTGAATCACGGTGGGTTGCTGTAGGCAGGCAAAGTTTTGCGGGCATTTCCCCTGGGGGGTATGGTGACTGAAGCGTTGCGGGCCATCGTCGAGGCAGTGCAGTGAAACAACCACACACGAGCAACGCAGGTCATATCACCTTGGCCACAGCAAGGATGGTTCGGTTCGGTGGCCCAGTGCCCCTGTTCGGGTGGTCGAAGTGCTCAGGGTTGGGAAAGAAGCCAATCCCTCCCTTTTTGACTTGCAAGTACTGTGCATTCCATGATGAGGAGCATCTGTCCTGGCCATCTATCCCCATACCCCCATCAGTCATTACAAAGGGAGGTCGGGCTCCATTGAGCTGCATGGGCGCAGCGGCCGGGTAACTTATTGGACCTATGCTAAGAGGACACTGTGTAGCAGGCCAGGTCCTCCTGTGACACACTAAGGTCAGGCGCAGCGAGGAGTATGTGACGAGTAGGGTGCCGGCTTCCTTGGAAAAAGGGCTGGGCCCCTCTTGGCCGGTTGATTGCACAAATAACAAATACTGCTGGGTGCTTCACCCCGGGAGGGGAGGCGAGGGGGGAGGGGGGCCGCCACCCAGCTGGGCATCGCACAAGCGGTTGTGCCTCCCATGACCCCCTTGAGCCCCAGTTAGTCAGGGATGGAGGCGCGCGATGGGGTAGGATGCATAGCGGAGCTGCGGCAAATACAAGTTCGCGATGGAAGGCGCCCATGGTGAGAGGCTATTTCGAGAAAGCTCTGTCAGCGCGTTCCTTACCTGCCATCCTCAGGGTGCTCTATACAATTTATCGCCAAAGTGCTGGCCGGCGAAGCTGCTGGGCAACCCACAGCAGACAGCAGCAGCATTGCCGTTGGGTGCGCTCCCCAAACATCCTGACACTTGGCTAGTTTTTGCATGGAACCACAGCTCAATAACGATGCGCTAGCCATACGTGAAACACAAAGGTCCGCGGCCCGGCAAGCCAGCCGCAATGACTGCACGCAATCACTGCACGCAATGACTGCACGCAATGACTGCACGCAATGACTGCATGCAATGACGGCACGCAAGTGGTTGTGGCAAGTGGTCGCGTGTGCAAAGGCTCCGACGATAGGGGGGCGGCTTTTCAAAGCCGAAAAGGGGCCCGGCCCCGGTGCAGCCACTTGACCCCGTTTGATTCGCAGGGCAGTCTGTACGGCATAGGAGTGCAAGCACAAGAACGCCGCCACGTTTGAAGTACACACTTGTTATTGAAATCCTCAAACAATGAAAGTCGGCAGACTTGCGACGGCGGTGTAGACCTGTCTGGATCGTCGCAAGCGCGCAGCCGCCATAGCATAATCATATCAACTGAACAGTTAGCCTTCTCGTGATGCGGCAATACGTAGAATGACATACACACAAAGCAGGAGTGTCATTGCGGCAACGTGTGTTGCCGCTGCTGCGCCAAATCCATGAGTAGGGACTGCCCGATACGTAGGTGGTACTACCGTTGCATCCATGTTTGACGCAAGCCCTTCTGCTGGCTGGCAGTTCAAGGCGCGTCAAAGTGCCCGTGCTTCATGGACCAATTGTTGTCCGCTCCCAGCCAGAACGCATTCGGGGATCGTTCCAATTACACATTTTTAAGTCGGAATGCAGCGGCAAAGCTGACGGTGTGTCGCAAAGGCACACTTCGTTTGAACTTGGATTGAATGAATGAAGAAGAGAATAAGAAGGACAACAATCAAACAGGCACGAGCGAGACGCCAGGAGGGAGGTGCTTAGAGTGTTGCCATGGGTCGTGCTAAAGCTGCCGAGCACGAACGAACTAACCCATAAAGGATCATGCCGTTTGCTTCTGAATCTACAGTGTAACGGACATGCAACGACGTCAGAGGCAAGGGCTGCGGCGTGAGGGGAAATCAAACTCGAAAGGTATCTTCGCGCTCCGATGTATTTGAATGTTCTCCTTTGGCCAACTGATAAAGAATTGATGTAGCTTTTACGCGCAATCTTTAGCGGAGTGGGATATGGAAATTGATCTCACCCTGGAAAGCCATTTTCGCCCACAGATATATCTGAATTCATTCCCTTGGTCTATCAATAAGATTTAGAATAGCTTTCCGAAGCAATTTAAAGCGGGGCGATATATGATGTTAGGAAGCTAACTTCGTTCACAAATTTATCTGAATTTATTCCATTGGTTCATCGATAGAAAATTAAAATAGATTTCAGATGCAATTTTAATCGGGGCGGATTAAGATGAAATGTTACACCATGACGGACTGACACTGACGGACTGACACTGACGGACTGACTGACAGCAGTGAACCTACCCCCCGAAAGGCGCTTCGCGCCCGGGGCCTCGCCCAAAAAGGACTGACAGGCGTTCCTTGCCTAACCATCTTCAGGGTGTGCTGTATAATTCATCGCCTGAGTGGCGACTGGCGAAGCTTGGCGCCGAACAGCAGACAGCAGCATTGGTGTTGAGCGCGCCACCTCAAGCGTCCTGATTCAAGGCTAAGACACGCGGTATCTGTTTTGGTAAAGTGTGCGTTTTTGGGCCAACCAGCACGAAGCGCGTTCCAACGAGCCTGTAGAAAATGTTCATTTTTTGTCAGCCACAAGAAATATAGGATCCAGGCTACTGCACAGTTGCGCGATATTACATAGGTTGGGTCGCTACAGACGGTCGGCATGGCCAACCCCAAGGCCCGAACGTGCTTCGCGCCAAAAAGGTAGTTCGCGCAGGCTCACCTCCGAATGCGTAACACCCTTTCGTCATACAACGCGCTTGAGGAATAAGCAGGCGTTGTCTCTCGCTTGGCATTCCTAGAGGGGACGGTGTTAAATTAGTTTCACTAATTAGCATGAATACAATCAGGAGGGGAAGGTGCTGTGTCGTGCTGTAAATCCGCAAAACCCTCGGGACCTCGACAGCACGGACAAGGCTAAGGCAATCTATTAGCTAGAGGTTACGTGCAGGCGGAGTTTTGGCGGCGCTTATTGCACGAATTTTGGTGTGAGGTCTAGGAGCCCCATTGCCCCAGCTGCCGCAAGCGCTTTGTTTCTGTTGACGAGTGCAGCAATCGTACCTGCGACCTACGCCTCTTCAAAACTTGCGGAGTTGCTTTCTCCTGGAGCGTGATGCATGGTTTGGTATCGTATCTTGGGAGGCACACTTCTGGCTGCGGTCCTTTGATCCTGATTTGGAGTCCAAACCACTGTTACAGCATCTAAAGCCCGGCCGCTACCAACCCATAGGCTCAGATGCAGAAGGCTGGGAATGACACAGGTACCCAGCGGTTAGGAGTCACGGATCACACCTGAACATCAAGGTAAGGAAAAAAATAAGAGCAATGCGTGTCCACAGCACTACTACTTTCCACAGCAACACTTCGCCTAGGTCCGGCGGCTAGGGCCTTGCGAGCGAAATTTAGCTCGGAACCACCCGTGCAACTAGATCAGTGCCGCCATTCAGTTCTTGCACGCACACTCTCCATGCGAGTTAAAAAATACTAGAAGACAGTATGAACGAAGACCCTCTGCATGGGTCAGGCATGCCCCCCTGTGCGCCGCAAGGAGCATCCCAGCCAACCAATGGTCTTGTCAATGGATGACAAGGCTTTTCAATGTCTTTCATGCTTCCAGAGCCCAGCAGGTCTGCTTTCGAAGCGGTTTTTTCCATGCTTCTTCTGCAGTGTGACGGATGTCATAGCTTCGTCGGCGGCGATTGCCTTACCTAGCCTGATTTTCATACAAGGAATCCTGGCTGAGATCGCTCAGGCAGGAGGATAGCAGTGCTGGAGGGAGCATCTTACGCGGGGACCTATTTCAGAGATGAATGGGTTGGCTCCTACTAGCCTACTAGCTGTTATACCACGACTTCAGCAAAGTACCGATCAGCGGATGCAGATCCCGTGATATGCCCTGGATGCTACGAACCCTACGAGCCTACGAACCGACTAGCCCTACTAGCCTACTAGCCCTACAATTGAAGGTAAACAAACGCAACGCAAACCCCTCACCACACAATATTAGCTGACTGTGCCATGGCCCATGCATGGGACACCTGTGCACGCACCATAAACAGGGCGCAGAGCATCCATCCATTATTGTACTCCTGCTGCACGACTCGTCCTGGCAGGATCTGGCTGCTTCGTTCGTTCACGCCCTGGCCGGCAGCGGCGCACAGCGGGGCGGATGAAGCCCTGCCTTTCCGGCCGCTTTACTCTGTTGTCCAACGGACACCTTGATCGGTGTCCAGGATTCCACTTGGGCGGCTCCTTGCATCTACATGGGCCCTCGCATGATGTTCCTCACCCTCCCTGCCCCGTTCAGCCGGCCCTCGATCAGGGCATAAAACGTGCTGTTCACTACAGCATCAACTGGTTGCCTTGCATAATTTCCTTCAGCTTTCCAGGCCCGTTCAGCCGGCCCTCGAGTAGTGAGTAAAACGTGTTGTTCATCAAAGCCTCTGGTGGGAGTGCCCCACCCCAACGTTTGCCGTACAGAGCCGCTAGCCGTTCGTGGACGTTTCTCCTGATAGCCTCGATGTTTTTTTGGTCCTTGGTGACGTCGAAAGCAGCGGTTGGATCGATGCGACCGCCGTACATGCCACGCCCAAACATGTCGTAAAAGTGCGTTTCGTTCATACGGAAGTGCAAGCCGTAGCTACCGATGGGCTCGAAGAAGCGGAAGAGCGTCTGGTAGCGCTTCGTGAAACCAAAGCTCGATAGAGAGTTGACAAGCCAGCGGTCCTGCGGGGTACGGTGCGGAGGTGGCAACCGAAGGTCAAAGAGCGGCGGCAAACAAGAATTTTATCTCTTCCTGTCGATTAGACCACTGGTGTCGTTTGTCCATTTGCACGGCTGTCCAATGCTGCATGTCTAGCATTTCAAGGCCGCACACTAGGCTAAAAATATGGGATCTTGCTCCCAGGATCACAATCGTCAAACGTCTGTCGCAAGCAAGAGGGATTTGATGTGTAAATTTGGCAACCCTGATCAAATATATCAGATAGGGACTAGATCCCCCGATGTCAGCGAAGCGTTCATGCATGTGGGTTATTGGTCATCGGCTGATCCGTACACGAAAATGATGTGGGTCAGACATACATATCGACACATAACGCCCTAACGCACCTGCGATAGCTCGGTCGTTGGTGGGAAGCCCTTTGCCTGCATCAGTGCCTGGATCGCCTCGCGTAAGGGAGGCAAGTGCTTCGCGCGGTACTCATGACCCTTAATCACGTCGTAATAGTCCCGAAGGCAGCCACGCGCGAGCTCATACTTGACACGGTGCAGGCCAAACACCCACAAATGACCCATATGGCCGACCACGGGGATAAGGCCCGCGGCAAAGCGCTCGGCATCTAGGAACGGCGACATGTCCTTGTCAAGCAGGCTCACAATACCGATTTCTGGCTCAAAGACGGATAGTTGTGCCATCCGGTGAAGCAGCTGTTGGGTACGTGGGGTGGGGACGGAACGCAGATTAACATTAATGGGGGGTTGGTGGAGTAATTAGTGCTCGGCTTCTTTGCTCCTTGGCATAGAAGCTTGGCAGCCCGCTGTAACAACTACAACAATAAGTGCACGTCAGGGTAAATCTGGTTGCATATATCGCACGCAATGCCTCGGCCGCCACCTAGGCAGGCTTGCCTGCCTAGCTGACATGAAAACCGCCACTCTCGCAAGGATAGAATGCGCCTCGTCCTTGTTCCTAGACAACCACAGTGCTCAATGAGCTTATGCGGGCTGCGTGTGTTGGAAAGTGAACATTTGCATGCGAAGTGCGCGTGCGGATCGAACAGTTCAAAACCCGCTGCGCTCTTGGTTGGGTGTCAGGTTGCCGTGCATTACCGTATCAGAAGCGTACCTGCAGCGCCTGAGGGTGTATGATGTTGTCCTCCTCCACGACCAACAGAATGTCATAACCCATAATGTCGAAAGCGAAAGCCTTGACAAAGTGATGGTGCAGACCCGTGCAAAGGTTGGCTGGATGGCGAATGTAGGCGAACTGCGTGCCTTTGGGGATGGACACGGTTCCATCCTCGAAGATAGAAGCGGCGCCACCGTCTTGTGAAATAAAAAAGTCAAACTCGGCCAAGCCCTCGCTGCGGAGGATGGCAGGAATGGCTCGGTGTATCATCTCCATCCGCTCGAAGCACATGTAGATCACGGCTACTTTGCTGCGTTTGGTGAAGTGTCTTAAAAGCCTCCTCCTTGCAGCCACAGGGTCCGCCAGCAGGGAATCCATGTAGGCTGCAGCGAGCGCCGGCTCCGACCCCTCATCAAGAATCTGAGCTGAGAGCTGTGCTGCCCCTCCTAAAATGCTTTGCGAGATGTCCGCCGCACCTGTTGCTGCTGTTGTGGTGCCCGAACCCTCTGCTTGGTCTCCGGTTCGGTAACGAGAAGGAGCATCCTGGCCAAGACCCTGCCTCAGCGCTGCCGTTGCGAGACTGTCCTTTGTAGAGTAATACATCAGAATCAGCGCAAGAAACAGCTGGTGGTGGGAATAGGAGCCGTGTAACCAAGGCGACTGCCATGTCGCGTCCATGGTCTTCGATAGGCGCCCGCCCTCCCGCGAGGAATCAACGACACAGAAGCAGATAAAGCTAGTGGCAACCTGGTGGCTTTAACCTTTGGATACAGGACAAGTCCAACATTTTTGCGGCTTCATACCTCTGTGTGACTTTCGAATGCCCATGCGCAAACGCATCGGCGACCTGACGCAAAACTAAGAGATGGCCGTATCAGCATATCACTCAGGTCTATAATACCTCTCTATGAAAATGCACGAAAAAACAAGAGAACATATGTATTGCTTAAGATAAACGGAGTTCGGTTGATCAACTAACCTACCTCTAGCCGTTTAGCTGCCGGGCGCGCAGTAGCTGCCGGGCGCGCAGTTTGGCTGACGGTAAACCATAAGATAATAGTAGAAGCATTGATAGTTTACTCAAAATAAAACTTAATTGACTCGGTTAGAAACGTTTTGCGAAAGTCGTCATGTGCATGACATACGGTTGCAGTTCCTAGTTCATTAGTTCATTGTCAGGTTGTGTTGCCTCAGCCGGGTGAGCACCACTCAGCTTGTGGAAACCGATTACGCAAATAAAAAACGGAACTGACGACTACATATATTATAGAAGCAAATGGCAGACGGCGTCCCAAAAAAGTTGCTGGAGAGGAATACGGCCCGGCCCATCCCCGGGCCGTATTGACTTCTCTATCTTCTCTTAGATAAATGAATTTGTTAACCACCCCCCAACACTCCCCCATGAGCGCAGTCCAAAAGCTTCCTCACAGTCCTTGACCGCCAACCCTAGACATTAGCAGCTAGCCGAACTCAGTCCGGAACTTCCGGATTCCCTATGTGCGCACCTGCAGTGCAATCGGGGCTCATATCCTTTATGGCGATCCTCAGAACAAAAAATCCGCTCAAAATGGTTCAAATACTTGCGAAGCCATAAAGTCGTCAGCCGCAAGGACCCAAAGTTATTGATGCAGAGCTGTGTGTGCGAGGGCAAGCATGTTACAATCTCTTGCCGCTTTAAACTTGTTCGGACTTCACAGCGCAGGTGCGCACTTCACATAGCATCCTGAAACTTGTTTTGAGGACCGCCATAATGGGAGGCAAACCATCGGAAAAGTCCGACAACCCTCAGGTCATAATCACTATCTACGCGCCAACATTGCTTAATTCTTAATTAAAAACTCGTCTTATTCAAAGGTGGCATAAGCTTGTCCACTTTGGCAATGGAAGATTCCTCCTACGCAGGCGCTCACCATCCGCTGACCGCGTGAAAATGCGCCTTGCAGTTATGCCTTGAAAGGGAACCAGCTTAATGGACGTCACTATATTTGAGCATCAATTGTTAGTTTGTGCCAGCGTGAAATGCCTGGAGTTCCGACTGTGCGATGCAGCCATTTTCACACCGGAAAGGTCGCAAGCAGGTATAGAGGCGTAAGTTGAGATGCATAGTTACCAGTAGCTTTCGAACAGTCGTGGATCTTCTCAGCTAAGTTTCCAAAGTCCGCAGCGGGCGGCTAGGATTTTTCTTACGCCTAGGCAGTACTTATTAGTCGAGGATGTTGGCAGTCAACTGGGGAGTTTACAACATGTTTACGGCATTGCGTACCGCACCGCTAGGGCGGGGACGCTGCTGCTGCAAGCAGAGAAAAGAATGCCTTCGCCTGGGGACGGAGACGAGTTATGACCACTGCGAGGTGTGCACTAGCTGCCGCTGTAGTTTCCGTTGATGCAGCGTGGCTCGGCAGTTTCAGATCTGCTGACTGAAAACTCGCGAAAGGAACTTTTACGGAAGACACAGCACGCCAATCTGCCATGTACACTATACGACATTACACCGACACAACCGCTTTGCAAACCGAAAGTAGGAAACTTCGGTTTCTGCTGCAAGCTATCCTTTTTCGAAAAACCGAAAGGCAGGAATGGAACCTCAGCAACACAATATCCGAATGGCAGGCTACGCTGTTCCCGCAAATTTGCTGAGCCTATCCCGCGCCTGGAGCATGCGGACCATGTTCGTAAGGTCGGTACCGGGTCAGCAACCCCATGCCAAAGCTTGCTTGTTAAAGCCAAGCGTTTGAACCCGAACAAGCGCTTCCTCTGCCAAGCAGACTGCCCGACAGCAAGTGCGTGACCCAAGGACTCCTTGTACCACGAAACAGTTATACAAATGCGCCTCATAATGGCTTGGCTTGGCTTTAATGCGTAAAGATCTGGTGTCTTCTGTGCGTGCCGTTGGATCTGTTTTGATGATGTATTCCCAAAGCCTGATAAGGGAGCGCTTCATTTCATCAGTTCCATTGCGGCTCTTGATGGACAGAGCGAAGAAATGTTTTGCAATGGCGAATGAGAATGCGAGGTGAGGTAAAGGGAGTAAGGTCGGGAGTAAGGACAGCGCGCGCGGAGGGAACTTAGCGAAGGACATTGTCGCTGCTGGCTTACTTCTTGCGGCGCCGCCTGTGCCTAAGCGCACTGTGCATGAGTATCTGGTTCGATCCTTGCGCAAGCCCCTATTAATTAGCTTCGGTTTCTATTTGGCGTGCAGAATTCGCACAGTGGGCGCGTTTATCATGACTTCGTCTGACCGTATGATCCTACTTACCGTATACTCGTATCGCACCTACGAACGCTGTCATAAGTATCCTTACAGTCATAGGTAGAGCCAACGTGCGCAGTTTTACGCTTTTGATGACCATTGTTTTATAGCCAAGGTGTCGAACAGATTGAAAGCCATGCATGGTTCATTTAATGCAAGTATGGATGCTTCCCGCCGCACCCGCCCACCATACCCTCCATGAACCCCAGACACGTACATACGTACATAGGTATATAGCACTGGAGAGTGGGATTTTGGCAATTTGTTCGAAAAATACTAGATCTTGGTTTCTACATTTTAGTTGCTGGAATTGTACTTTCAAATTCGATACCAGTACATTTAAGCAAGATTCTGTCGTACGGCGTCTCGTATTAGCTTTAATATTTATGGGCTCGGTGTTCGCGTCGTTAGAGGAAGCAGGTGTCGCGTGGTGTGAAGAGCGCACGCACCAGCCAGCTGTGCGCACACACGCTCCCTCTCCCTTGCGAACGGTTTCCGGTGCTCGACGCAATATTTAGACATCGTTCTAATCCTTGACACCCACCGGCGGATTAAACAGTAGTAACACTTCAGTTCTGATATTACTGGAGCCTATCGACGTGCTTCCTACGGCGGGGCGGGGACGTCTTCGCCATATACGTTAGTCCGGGTGCCCGACCAAAAGCAGGTAAAGCGCGCTGTTATGCCGGCTTGCCGACGTTGAAGCAGCAAGCGCTGGTGCATGCGTTTTAACCAGCAAGCACGCATATGTGCGCACGCTGCTACCATCCCCATAGGCTCTGTAGCAGCTGGCCGCTGAAAAGGCCTCTCGAAATGCTGGTGGAGCGCTTAGCGTGTATTTGTAGATGTTATGTGTGCCGTACTATGTACCAGCTACTACATTCCCCCCCTTTTGAAGGGATCCGTCTCGGGCCCTTACGGCCACGTATACCACCCGCCTGTGGCTACCTTCGCCTACCCTCGGGCAGTGGGTGAACAGTCCACGTCACGTCATGTGCCGCCCTCACAGGCGCCAAGCCGTCTTACGGTTATTCAGGCACAGAGATATTCCAGTTGATCACAGTTACTTTATGTCACGATAATCGTGCAGTTAGTCATCTAACCCGATTTTCCAACATAAAATGATTGGAACCGACGTCTTTCAGGGTCGTACACGTGTGCGAGGTCTTGGTGCCAGGTGTAGAAGCTGGCCGCTGAAAAGGCCCCTCAAGATGCCAGTGGAGGGCTTAGCGCGTATATGTGGATGTTATGTGTGCCGTACTGTGTACCAGCTACTGCAGGCTCCCATTACCACCACCACTCGTAATAATATAGAATACGAATTACTAATGGTGGTAAGTCATTTACCCCCTTACTCGACACGAGTACACGACTGTACAAGTCTGTACATAATGACGTAACAGAACATGCGTCGGGATTGGTTCGCATGCTCAAATTTGCGTAGCGTACTTGCTTGCTTGACCAGCAGCGGTCCCTACCTAGCATAGCAGGGCGCAAGCTATAGACGACGAAGATTCTACAGCCGTAACATACTTCTTATCGTCCATCGATCGTGCCCAGCTCGTCCATATTCAATTTACTAGGACACGACCTATCCACGATGAAGTGTTTTACACACATCGCTACGAACCCGCCCAGACTAATCCTACACCTATCACTAAATTATCATTACGCCATCGCGCTACATGACTGGACTTGTCTTTGCCTCCTAGACGTGTTCTGTTAGGGCGCATGACTTGCTGAGTGGCAGGCACGGCCCACCAACACCACTGCGTCACACCGCACGCGTTACACCCGGGAAGCCTCACCGGACCGATATTTGTGTGTACCTGCCCTGCCCTGCCTCCCGCCTTCCCCCTTCCCTTCCGTACTATTGCGGCGGCCTGCCACGCCCTCGCTCACTTCTTCTTCCTGTCGCCAACTCGCTCCTTGTCCAAGGCACGCAGAGGAGCAGGCAACTGCCGTACCGCGATGATGTGGAAGCTAAAATGTCTGCTGCTGATAATCTCAGCACTTTTCGTCGCTCAAACGTCAGCCCAAGGTACGTAACGACCACCGTTCCCGATATCAACCGGTTGGCAGCTTGTGTGTAGCAATTACGATGCTAGATGTCAGGTTTGGCTGTTCGCTGATAATGCCCGATGTGTATAGGACGCGTGTTATAGCTGAGCGGAATGCATGCATGCACACAAGTTTGTCCCGTGCGCTGTTCTGCGTTGTATGTATCGGGTGCCCAGTGGTTCGCAAGCTATCTTCTTGTCTTGCTTGAATCCTGCCGGTCACGCCAAAGCTTGCTGCTACATGGTCGTTATTGATTATCGTTCGTTTGCGATGCTGCTGCTCGCAGTCAGCAGACTGCTGAATGGGTTGGCTCCGGAGGTGGCGCACTTTGACGCGTCTGCCGGTGTCGCCACGGCCACGGGCTCTAACGCGGTGGTGACCTGGGACGACGTCAAATTTCAGGTAGGTATGTTAGCAGGAGTTCACACGGTTTCGCACGGCAACTTATTGTTGATGTTGTTACAGGGTGGTTAAGCTTCACCAGGGTGGTTAAGCTTCACATTGTTATATGCGCACGGTTGCTGCTGCTAGTGCTCTGCAAGGGCTCTGCTGCGGCGGTTGCTTCTGGTAGCTCAACGCGTGCATGCCTAGCCCCTTTATGTGGCGTCGTTATCTCATATGCTGCCTCTGCTGATGGCCTCTTGTTAAATTAAAGGGCAGATGTAGCACGGGCAGGACCGAGTGCTGCTTGCTTCGTATTTATAGCATGTGTAGGTTATATGTATGGTTGAACCCGTCTGCTGTACCCCAGTATCTGGGGGTTGCCCTGCCGCCAAGTTTGCGATTTGCCATTTCCTCTTCTATCTGTTTATTCACTTGTTCGTGCGACCTGACCTGCAGCCAGCTTGCTAGCCCGCCACGATGTCAGGTTGCATCGGCCACGCATTCAGTCGCCCATTACTCGTGGGCCACTCAATCACACAGCCCCACTGCTCACTCCGCCGTGTGGCCGTGTGCGTACACACCTTCAATCGTTGACGGCATGATGCATGCGCCCCTCATCACCAATAATGCTTTCAGACTCGGCCAACGAACCGCCTGACCTTCGCCGGAACGGGCTGCCGCCTGGTTCCAGCTGCCGCCGGCACCAGCGCCTCCGTGTACTTCAGCGGCTCCTGCTACGGCCGCAACCTTGGCCTCCTTGATGCCGCCTGGAGCACCGCCCCCGACTCGGCCTTCACAGCCGTGTGGATCGGTCGCCTGAATTCGGTCACGGAACCACAGACCTACATGACCATGAGCCGGATCCCCGGAGAATATTTCTGGGAGATTTATTGGGCTCAGAAAAATTTGTTCGTGTTCGGAGATCTCGACGAACTATTCGGCATCAACGCGAATACTACTTTGCCTCCCGCTGGTCAGTGGACCATGGACGTGTTCTCCCGGCAACCGGGTGCAACCTCCGCTTACCATGCCCGCTACAGCTCAAGTGGCAGCCTCTCCCTGACCTCCTTAACCAGCAAGCCCTGCAGACTGGACAGGGATAACCTCGTGGTGGGGGCTGATTACCGGGACGGCGACAAGTACCTGGTCGGCAACATGGCGGTGTTGCTGATTTACAACCGGTCGCTGTCTTCGTCCGAGCTGCTGGATCTTGCGCAGAGCTATGCTCCGCGGTTTGGATGGCCTGCGCCAGTCAGTGAGTCCTGCGTTCACCCTTTTTATGGCTCACGGCTCTTACATATGTATGCTTTAATACGCCCGTATGGGCGAGTACATTGAAACCAAGGGCTGCATGGCCTTGTCTTTGTTTCCCAGGCGTGTTCAGTTCAGTTAGGGCTGATGACGTGCTTGGTGGTAGAGACGGGCCCACTTGTACAGCGCGCAAATAGCCAATACCCCCATGGTGGAAACTCTGCGTACGAAATACTTTCCAACATGTACTGTCGAGCCCGCACCCTTCCGAACAGGAGCTCACGTATAAAGCTCTCACTCAGCAGCTGTGAGCACTTCTGCTCACTTCAGGCAGAGTCACTACACTGCTAACCGCGTCCCTGTATTCCGTCGCCCGCCTGCCACCTGCAGGGCCTCCGCCTCCACATTCTCCATCGCCTCCACCCCCGTCCCCACGCCCACCGCCGCGCCCACGTTCGCCACCCCCCTCACCACCACCTTCACCGCCACCCCGCTCACCACCACCTTCGCCGCCACCCCCCTCACCACCACCTTCGCCGCCACCCCCTTCACCACCACCTTCGCCGCCACCTTCGCCGCCACCTTCGCCGCCACCTTCGCCGCCACCTTCACCACCTCCGCCACCGCCAGTTTCACCACCTCCACCACCGCCAGTTTCATCACCACCACCGCCAGCTTCGTCCCCAAGCCTGACCCCGGCCCCAGGTACAGTTTATTAAGGGATTGCATTAAAGGGAGATTTTCACGGACGCGCTGACTCCATATGTCCGCGTTGATCCGCTGCTGCGCTTCTGTAATAACGCAGCAAACCCGCCGCCACCAGGCCCGCCGCCTCCAAGCACGTGTGTTTGGGAGGTGTACACCAATCCAAGTAACGTTCATATCTCTATCTCTATCTATACCTATATAGATATAGACAGATATAGGTATATACCTACGCTAGCTATCCACACCACGCTAGTTATCTAACGGAAGCGAGATGGATTTTCGGTGGCGCTGCCGTCCATGCGGCAGGATGGATGACAAGAACAACAGCAACAATAACAATGGTGGCTCCCCTCCGGTAGCTGGCCGCTGAAAACGCCTCTTAAAATGCTGGCAGAGCGTATAAGCACGTATTTATAGACCATGTGTATGCCGCTTTCTGGATCCAGCTGGCCATTTTTCACTGGATCTACATCCGCCGATCGGTAACTGTTCTGTAGTCGTGATACAACACATGGTATCGAGCAGGTTTCCCAGCTCCCACCCGGGTTAAAATCCTGTCTGATGCGGTTTCTGCTCGGGAAATGGCAGGTCCCGCAACCGCTGGTCATTCCTATGGGAGGTGGTAGCACCTACCGTGTACCTGGAAATGGTCTAGGTCCTCTAGATCCTCTAGGTCCTCTAGGTCCTCTAGATTGAGGATGTCCCCATCTGGAGGGGGGGGGAATGATGTATCCCCGGAGCACCCGGGGATCTGCGTCCGCCGATCGGTACTTTTCTGTCGTCGCCACTGCACACCCAGAAGGCTTCGTGTTGCTGCTTTCCATGCCCTTACTTGTCTGTGATCGATTTGGCGATGAGTCTGTCCGTCCCTCGCTCGCTCGCTTGCATCCTATTCCATAGCGGATGGATATTACGTCGGCTGCTACAACGACAGGAAGAGCAACAGCAGTCGCCTGCTGCCTGTGTTCCTCGCGTACAACAAGCAATTTGTGACGCCGTCGACATGTGCGAACCTCGCACGTGCTGCAGGTGCGTGGGCTAACACACACACACACACCGATCAATCCGCGACACCGACATTCGCCTCTCTCTCCCGCCCTTGCCGCCTGGCGAGTCCTGCATGTGTCCCCTCTGTATCTCCAACCCTGCTGCTGCTCGTTAAGCCGGATAGCTAGACAAACGGTACCCGCAGGTACTCGCGAGAGTGAGATGCCACGGGGATCGGATTACTACTCGTTACACAGCTGCTATTCCAACTAGCTGTACATCAGTCGGTAGCTTTTGTATGAGTCATGACACGTGAGATGCGGAAAGTGAGAAATTGAAGCAATGCCGCTGTAGCATGTGCAGCAGTATATATGGTATTAATATGCGACGGAGAAATGTCCTCTCGTCTACCTCGTTATGCACGTATGGTGAATATTTGCTGCGCACGTTTCGTACAATGCGCAGGCCTGAAGCTGTACGGTGTGCAGTTCAGGGGCCAGTGCTATGGTGGGAACGACCTGGGGCTGGCTACGTCTCTTGGCGAGGGCAATGGTTGCACAATGAACTGCACAGGCGATAACTCCAAAATCTGCGGAGGTTCCTGGTTAAACAGTTTGTACTCGCTCGTTGGTGAGTCGTCAGCGAAAAATACAAAGCTGGAGGGCTTTCCGTGTCCCGTTAAAAGAGTGGAACGAAATACGAACGAGGGTTCCAGCCGGGAACCCAGTGCATGTCGAATCGGTGACGGGACATGCACCTGGTAGCCCGTGTACAATCCTACTTCACAGACGAACAGCCTGCCTCTTGCTGTACGTCTTGTTGTTGTTACAGAGTGGGAGGCTTCTGGGCCACCTGAACATATTGTCATTTCAACGATTACTCACCATACAGCACCAACCACCTTTACCACCCTGTACTACGCCATACGAACTGCAATAAGACAGTAGTGTCACCAGACCAGACCCGGTGTACATCTACCTGGCTGTGCATTGGAACGATTCCATCGCCAGCAATTCACCAAAGTAGGTCGAGCATATGCCGAACCACCAGGACGGCTAGGTGCGTGGCATATCTTCGAGATACGCTAGCTGGCTCCACTCGAGCCCGCACCCTTTCGAACAGGCGCTCACGTCTAGGGCTCTCACCCAGGAACTGTGAGCACTTCTGCTCACTTCAGGCAGAGTAGCAGGCACTGCTAAACCGAGTCTGTGTATTCCGTCGCCAACCTGCCACCTGCCACCTTCTGCAGAGCTTCCACCTCCACCATCTCCGCCATCGCCACCCCCCTCCCCAAGCCCGCCGCCGCCGCCCCCTCCACCACCCCCACCACCACCTCCTTCGCCGCCACCTTCACCACCACCAAGCCTGCCCCCCCCGCCAGGTATGGTATGTTGAGGGATTAAATTACAGCGAGATAGAGGGATGTAGGAATAAACCTGCAATATCATTATTGGACAGCTGCTATCCAGCGAAACAGTGAATGACACAGTCTAAAAACGCTTGATTGCCCCCGAGTTTGTACGTGGCTGTATGTAAATGCAAATGGCTGGTTTGGCAGGTCAGTGATAATGCAGCAGGCAGAACCTGCACCCAATACTTTGCCATACCACCAAACATCTTCACGGAAGCGCTAACTCTGTCCACACCGGCCCGCTACTGCGCTTCTGTAATAACGCAGCAAACCCGCCGCCACCAGGACCGCCGCCTCCAAACCCAATTCCAATTCCAGGTACGTTCGGTGCCGGCATTGCTTATTACATTCATGCATACAGCCATGCGAGCCACCTAACGGCAGCGAGATGGATTGCTCGGTTTACAATATTTCACAGATCTAGTAGAGCTATCTCGTGACCACACTGACTAGCCAGCAGGCGCTGTCGTCCATGCGGATGGATAGACGACGATGATAATAATAATAATAATAATAATAATAATAATAATGTAAATAGTAATAATAACAATAATAATGGATGAATATAGGAAAATAATAACAATTAAAATAATTAAGTAATAGCAAGAATAATAATAAAACAATTAATTATAGTAGTTCTTAATTATAGTTAAATTATCGTAATAGATAATGATTGTTATAGTAATAATGGCGCCCGGATCAAACGGGGGGATATCATATCCCCCCTTGCGATTTATAGTTTGAAACGCAATGATTTATCCCACGCTTCCAAACGAAAGATCTTGCTCGGGCAGAGCATACAGATAATGCTTCAGAAATTTAGCTGGTGTCATGCGGCAGAAGTTATGGGGTTCCACAATTGGTTTTTCGCCATGGGTGAGTATGTGGTTTCCTAGCCTCAGCCAATTTTTCAGGGATCCTCGGAACTTCTTCAACTACACGCCGGAATCCAGTCATCAAATCCATTATATGTTCGTCCAAAAATGTTACAGATTACGGTTACTAAATACCCATTTAGTGGGGTTTCTGGATAACATCTGGAGCATGAGGCTCTGTTGGTGTGCGAAGGCTTGTTTAGACAAGTCATGGCAACATCGCTCAGAGAGAGGGGATCACGCACGAGGGTTCTGTGGTGTTTGGGATTGGGAGGGATTAAGCTCGGAGCTACGAGGAGGTGTTTTTTGTGAGTGATCCGGATGGAACTGCCCAGATAGGGAATTGACGAGCCACAAAAGGGCAATCCCTGGGTTTTGTAAATATCTTTAGTAACTTCTGGATTTAGTTTGTAAGCATCAAAAATTCAAAAAAGACCTATATGCTCTTTTTCGGTGCGATTTTGTTTGCGAGGTTGGTGGGTGGTTACAAGGGTCCCTTCAAGACAAATACTGCATAAGGTGAAATAAAGATATCTTATATCACATCTCTGGTGCCAAATCGGCCGCACCTTGCCGTTTTTCACATCTCTGCCTCTCTATGGGCCTATAGTCGATCCTAAACATCTGATGACGCGCCTGTCTTGCTCTCCCTCGTTCGCTTGCGTGCGTTGTTTCCCATAGCTGAGGGAGTTTACATCGGCTGTTACAACGACAGGAAGAGCAACAGCAGTCGCCTGCTGCCTGTGTTCCTGGCGTACAACAAGCAGTTTGTGACGCCGTCGACATGTGCGAACCTGGCACGTGCTGCAGGTGCGTGGGCTAACACACTCTCCCTCCCGCCCTTGCCGCCTGGCGAGTCCTGCATGTGTCCCCGACCGAATGTAGATATTTAGGCAACCCCTCTGTATCTATAACCCTGCTGCTGCTCGTTACGCCGGATAGCTAGACAAACGGTACTCGCGAGAGTGAGATGCCACGGGGATCGAATTACTATTCGTTACACAGCTGCTATTCCAACTAGCTGTACATCAGTCGGTAGCTTTTGTATGAGTCATGACACGTGAGATGCGGAAAGTGAGAAATTGAAGCAATGCCGCTGTAGCATGTGCAGCAGTATATATGGTATTAATATGCGAGGGAGAAATGTTCTCTCGTCTACCTCGTTATGCACGTATGGTGAATATTTGCTGCGCACGTTTCGTACAATGCGCAGGCCTGAAGCTGTACGGTGTGCAGTTCAGGGGCCAGTGCTATGGTGGGAACGACCTGGCGCTGGCTACGTCTCTTGGCACGAGCACTGGTTGCACCATGAACTGCACAGGCGATAACTCCAAAACCTGCGGAGGTTCCTGGTCAAACAGCTTGTACTCGCTCATCGGTGAGTCATCAGCGAAAAATACAAAGCTCGAGGACTCTATTCACCCACAAACAGCCTGTCCTTAGTACCGTATCTGATTGTACACGTTCGTTACAAGTGCCACGCGCAGCTGCTAAGGCGAGTGCACCTTGGTGTCTGTATATCTTTTTGTTGCAGCACACATGCATGCAGCAATCGTCGGAGGATCACCTTTTATTTGTTATTCATAATATCTTGCCAAATAGAGGTTTCATGGCCATGCGAGCGAATGCTAGCTGTATGCAAGCAGGGTCCCATGGTCCTGATTAAGCAAAAGCAGGTTTGGTGCTCCAATGCGCTTACTTCCACCTTGCAGCTAATACGGTAGCTGGCGGTGCACTTAGCCTGTGCCGCATTACTGTTTGCTTGCCTGCACCAGCGAATACGTCTCAGGGGTTGAATTGCACCTGCATGCACCTCCTATTTCGCATCACTGCTATTGGTGCCCCTGTGTGGCTGCCCGCTGCAGACCCTAATCTCCTTCGTCGCCTCCACCGCTGATCCAGCCTCCCAAGAGCCTGGGCACCGCACGAGGCCATTTGGCAGGTCGGTGTGTGTGTCGATATCGCACAAAATGCTGTGAAGCTGTGTGTCGTCGCATCAACGGCCACACTGTCCCGTGCCGTCTGCTGTGTGAGAGGGAATGATCTGATCCCTGGGGCACGCACCTCCCAGAAGAATTGAGCACCGGACGTGCAGCATGAAAAGATTGTCACATACGGTGCGTGCCAATAGGCTTACTCACCAATCATGCAGCAGCAGCAGCAGCCGCTTTACATATGCGACTCAGCACAGTGCTACACTCGGTAGCGGCCCAAGCCCCAGACGGTCACAGGACCATACGTTTGCCAACCTCTAGGCTTTCGTGCGGCATGTGGTTTCTGCGGCTGCCTGACTCATCTTCAGCGAAGGGTAGTTGGTCCAGATCGACGTCAGCTCAAGCCAGCCAGCCGCCAACCCTGCTGCCACGCAGCTAATCATCACCACCTAGCCCGCCATGCGCACACCCGGGTCTGACATATGCATGGCTTTCAGCTTTCCTTTCATCTCCCTGCTATTCCGGTGTGCAGGTAGGGGCATTCGTCTCACTCCCGCTAAACTGGACGAGCCGACGCCTAATCATAAGTGTACGAGCAGTTTCCTGCGTGCTGGATTTCTGGGAGATGCGGCACAGCCTCCTAAATGCGTTGATGTTCTGATTCTCATGCAAGGCTTTGATCGTGAACATGCACCAAAATCCTTTGTTCATGGTGCCACCCTTACTGCTGTCTTACCTCGACAAATCTTTTAAGTCGCCACATTTCGTGTTAAATGGACTGCTATGAGGCTTAACTTTGCTTATTGCAGTTATTGCGTTTTTTAATGCGCCCGTCATCCCTTGTATGGCACCGTGTAGTTTGTTCGTTACGTTTGTTTGGACGTGTGTGGTTGTTACAGTGGGCTCCAGACTCCCGAAGAGTAGAGCCATCGGGCCAGCTGGCCGTGCACTGCAGTAGAGACTAATATACCAAAAGATTATCATCTCAGATAATTAACCTCTCATCGGTAACCGCTCTCGCGAACAAATCAATTTGCCAGATATAATCCTCAAAAAGGGGTGATGTGCGCCAACGGATTCCCAACCTTTTCGTGGAATTCCTAAAGCTGCGAAACCCTGAATGCGGCCCCAAAAATCAACAATAACTCGACAAATTGCTTCTTCCGTAAGGGAAGGACCAGGTAACAGTGCCGGGTTGGTTTTCATGTTTGCAGCCATATAACGTCTCCCATGCTCCATGGCTGACACCGCAGCAAGAGCCACAACATCCCAAACACATTGTTGCACTGATTGTGGGGCTTGGATAAGCCAAAGTTGCTCCCTTGAGACTGGCAATCCTATTGAAAGAGTAAGTTGGTCTGCTATTGCCTGTGCCACCGGACAGGCCCAGAAATGATGATAGCGAGGGGATACACCTCCCACTGAACCTATTGGATAACCTCCACAACCACATATCGTTGGGCGCGACATCCTAAGATGGGAATTTCCTAACATAGGCACCCCATCAACCGCAAGACGCCACCAAATCTCTTTTTGTTCATTTTCCCACCGTAAATGAAACCATAAACGATGGAATGTCCGTTGCAAAAGAAAAATAGCTTCATCCAATATCTCA